GAAACGAGTCTGACTCTTTCGATGCGTTCGATTGGTTTCGAACCACAGCCCTCTGACACCCCTATGAAAAGGAAAGAGACTTCTATGCTTATCAGTTCTTTGTGCGTAAAAATCGACATTTTGGGGTATGCAATTTGGATTTGGGGCGAACCGAACGACGGGCCCTGGTAGCTCGGGCCCGCCCTCAGTACTGCGGTGTCCCCGCAGCCTCCGGGAGAGTTAGTCGCCGGCGGCAGCCTGGTGTCGGCGTGCTCCTCACTCGGGCCGGCGTGCCGTGCTCGCCTCGCTCTGCGGGCGGAGGCGGCGCGCCGTGCCGTGACCCGCCAGACGGCCCCCCGGGGGCCCGCCGCCGCCGGCCACGCCCTGCACAAATGGCGCCGCCTGCGTGACCCAGTGCGGTGGCTCTGCCGGCCCGCCCCACCACGTCACGGCCGCTCGCCACGGCCGACGGACGGCGGCGGCCGGCGGTGGCGGAGACGCACTCGGCGCACACGCGATGAGGTGGCGACAGGCAGGGTGTGGCTGCGTTTTCAGTTTTCATCAGGAACGTCAGAATCACCATCATGATCAAACTGAACCATTTGGCCCACATCATTCTACGGTGCTGTCCAAGATGGCGTAATTTTCAGTTTTGCTTTATTAAGGTCACCACTGAGTCTGCTTAGGCTTAGCTTTAGGCTCTTCGAAGAGCTAGAGCTGGTGTTCCATTGTGTAGCCTTACGCCGGCGCTTCGCAGGGCGGGATTGATGTTCTGTCACCGAGGTGACGGAACGTGTGGGGTTGGAGCAGCGCATCACAGAGCAGTCTGCACTCTGCCTCAGCCTGAACGAGCGCATCATAGCGCATCATCGTCATGTTGGATATCACGCGTCAGTATTATACTACGCGCTGCCAGCCGGTATTGCTCGGCTGACACAGCATCGTTTCATTTGCGCGGTGGGAGCGCACCTGTCTGAGCGTTAATGCTATTAGTAGCCGGTAAACGGATGTCTGTGTATTACATGTTTTTTGCCGTTTTTTCCCCAGCATGTTTCTTATCTCCTGTTGTTTTGGCACGGGGCTGTAAAAGACACGCACCATTCCGGAGGGCCTTATGCACGTAATGCACGCATACGTACATACAGTACTTCTTAGTATCTACGACAGCGTCTTTGCCGCAGCGGAAAACCGTGCACTCAACTTTCCGTTTGACATAGAGCGCGGTCCCCGCGTGGTCTCTCGACATCTCGCACGGCGGCTCATGTTCCACGCAGGCCGCGTGGAACGTGGAACATGGAACGTGGAACGTACTGTCTCCGCCCGCGAGGCAGGGCGCTGCGGAAGCTCTGGGCCGCCGCCCCAGGGCCGGCCGGTCGGGCGTCAGGCCGGGTCGTGCGGCGACGGCCGGCGTCGGACGGGACCGCCAGGCCGTCCCCACGCTGGGTCCTGTGGCGTCCAGCCGGAGCAGGACGGCGCTGGGCGGGCCCTCAGGCGGAGAGGTCCGCTGACTGCGGTGACGCCGCGTGGAGGATGCGACCGCAGGCTTGTTGGGACGCTGATGGCTTATGCGTATGCTGGAGGGGTACCGATGGTGTAGTGGTTATCGCGTCTGCGTTAACCATGCGCGTCTGGGAAACCACAGGTACGGGATTCCATTCCCCGCGGTGCCCACCCTTCTTGCCCGGGCGAGAGGACGCGGGGCTATATAGCCTCAGCAGCTGAGTGCAACGTAAAGCTCCAATGGCGACGATGACGACCTTGCATGCCGGATTGCTTCGCCCTTAGACATCTTGGAATCTTTCGTCTGTTGGGGCTTCATATTTGTTGGGTTTTCTAGCCATGTGCGGACACGTTCATTTCCTGGCTCGCTTGCGTTTTTGCAAGGCGGTGGATGCGTGGCTAGTTTGGATACGAGCTCATATTTTGGTTTGGTTCGATATTGTTTTACACTTTTTCTGTTCGGCTTTTGTGGCTGCCGAACATTTCCGTCTGATGTTCAATGGCCCATGTGGTCTAATTTTTAAGTTAAGTTTGAAACGTGCAGATTGTTCGCGATCGTCTCAATATTCCGGTGTATTTTAGCCACACCCCCATTGTGCCCCGCGGGTCATCTGTCCATGGCGGTGTCAGTTTTGTGGTGGCGTCAGCAGCAGCGCCAACTATCGGCCCGTGCTGCTGGTAACCGCCTGATGACACGCTCTTTTGGCGTTAGCAGAGGCTATTTTTGAGGATGAACCTCTTAAGCGGTTCGATTCCAAACCGTTGTGGGTTTGCCCGTTTGTCGTCTGGCCCGCGGTGGAGGGAAGGACGGTGTCCTTTTGTACCCCACGTTTGTCTCTAGTGCACCAGACTATAGCCTTGGGCAGGTGGTGGTTGGTTGCTCTTACTAGACGTGTGCCCCAAAAAGGTCCCACGATCCCATTAACATGCAGCCGTATGAGATTTTGGATCCGCCCTTTGGATCCAGACACATGCCCGGCTCTGACCACCATGTCTGGCAGCCTCCCGACGCCGTTCGCGGTCGAAACGTTCTCAATAACGGCGAGCGGGCAGCCTGTGGCGACGGCTGGCACCAGGAGATGTGGAATCCGACAGGACAGATCGGTGGGGCGAGATAAGAAACATTGGAAAGGATAGCCAAAGAGACGCGGAAATAGAAGAAACGAAAAATCATCAGATGCGGAATAGAAAGGCTGAGAGAACATAAAACTGAAAGTATGATATGCGGAACAGGTAGCCTGAGAGAGATCGCTGAGCCGAATTCCGGGAGGTGGACGCGGACTATTGTAATATAACCGTTGCAATGATAAAGCGTTAGCATTTCGTGAGTGTCCCTCCCCCCCCCCCCTCCATTCCAAGCGCGTCACCACACGGTGCAATCTGCGGCGTCACCAGCCGCCGGCTGCTCCAGCGACGCGTCGTGGCCACACGCCGGCGGTGGCTGCGGCGGCCGGGAGGTGCATCTCCGGGGTGACGCCGTACGCCGCTGGCGCCGGCCGCCGGCCGCCGGCCGACCCGACCGTCCCCGCTGCCAACTGGAGCAGCCGCGCCGGCCGGTGCCACCCCGCCGTGGGTTGCCTCGGCGCGCTCGTGCCTGCTCCCCGCGCCGGCGACACGCGGCGGTCACGCGCCGGGTCATGTAGCGTCGCGCGGACCCGCGCGCCACGGGCCGCGGCCGGAGTTGCGCCGGTGAGATCTGCGGTGGGGGAGCGCCGCGGGCTCCTGCCCGATGTTAGGCTTCCTTGCATTGGCGTGGGGACCGACGATCGCGGCCCGCTGCTAACTTATGCATGGGCCCGGCTATCGGCGGCAGTATCGGAGTGTGGCCCCTTCCAGCGCTATTACCCGGCCCTCGGCCGCGTCCCTGCCCATGCATGGGGCTGGAAGGATTAGGCGGTATGCGGTGCTGTGGTGCTGCCACCCGGCCGTTGACTATGCTGCAGCGCTTCTGCGCGACTTGGCGCCGTGGTGGAGAGCTGGGAGCTAGTCTTGCGCCATGGCTGAGAGCTGAGAGCTACTCACTCCGTGCCTGAGAGCTGTGAGCTAGTCTCACGCCGTGGCTGAGAGCTGTGAGCTAGTTTTACTCCGTGGCTGAGAGCTGGGAGCTAGTTTGACGCCATGTCTGACAGCTGAGAGCTAGTCTCACGCCATGGCTGAGAGTTAAGAGCCTAACTGTATGCCGTGCCATGCCTGAGAGCTCTGAGTTAGTCTCACGCCATGTGTGGACCCCGCGAACTAGTGATGCTGCTGGATACTGCTTGCTGCATCCGGGCCATGCGGTCCTATCCCCCCGGACGTCTGGGGCGCTACAAGCCCGGCGTCGCACCGGGACGCCGTGCCCTAGTCCCACGTCACCCCGAGGCGCCGTGTCCTAGTCCCACGTCACCCCGTCACCCCGAGGCGCCGTGTCCCGCTCCCGCGTCACCCCCGGTGTGCCCTGTTCCCACCCCACGTCCGGGCCCTGGTCCTTGGGCACATCCGGGTACTGGGGCCGGTCGCACGCTATGCCGGTAACGCTTTGACCCGGCGCCGGCGGCGGCCGGCCGTGCCGTCAGAGCCGATCGATGGCGTTAGCGGGAGACCCCCCCCCCCCCCCCTTCCCTCGCCCTCCATCTGAGGCCGACTGGCCGGGCCGCATCTTGTCTGCGGATCACACCCGGACTGTCCGCCTGTCCGGCCGTCCCGGACTTCGGACGGCGCCGGCCGCCATTCGCTCTGCCATCTCGACCGCCATTTGGGCCTCCGCTCCGACCGAGGTTGGTGCTCTCATTGGGGACGTCGGCTGAGTCCAGTTTGAGTGGTTCGCGGATCGCCGTCAGGCCGCTCGCTCGGGCGTCGAGACGGCCGCGCCGACGGCGGCTCTGGCGCGACGCCGTCCGCCGCCGGCGCTCCTCGGAGATCACGGTCTCCGCTGGCCGGAGACGGCGGCACGGGCCTGGGTAGGGCCGAGGGAGAAGCCTGGATCCAGGTGCAAGGTCCGCGAGGCAGGCACGGCAAGCCGCGCGGTTGTGACCGCTGGTGTCGCTTCGCTCTTCTCACGGTGAGCTCCACTGGTGGGCTGCGTTCTGACGCTGGGACCGACCTTCGAACCTGAAGCTGACTGCAAGCGCGTGTCAGCCGCGTTGCCGGCTCCGCTCTGACGCGCGGCGGCTCCCGGCCGGCCGCCGCCCTCCCACGGGCCGCCGCTGGGAGACCGGCCGGGCGGCGGGCCTGGAGGAGTCGGCCTCTGTTGCGCGGCGCGGTGTTTGGCCCCGGGCGCAGGCGGCCGGGCGGCGGGCCTGGAGCAGTCGGCCTCTGTTGCGCGGCGCGGTGTTTGGCCCGGGCGCAGGCGGCCGGTCAGGGTCGATCGATCGGCGGCGGTAGCGGCGGCGCCCGTCCTGCCGGGCCTGCTGCTCCGAATCTCGGCCCCAGAACAGGCCGTCTGGCGTCAAACCACTAGCAGGTTTTTGTGTCTGTCTGGGGGTGGGTGATGGGGGCCGGGGGTGGCTGCGCCGTGTCAGATTGGCTCACGCCCTGTCATAAGGCATCCTCGCCTCCCCTCCCCCCCTTCGTAGCGCGTCCCGCTTTACCGTGGTTGTGGTGGCAACCCGGCGACCGGTAACTGTCACTGTCGCTGAATGACCAGCGCTCTGTTGACCGGCGCTCCGGCTGGCCTACGCTTTGTCAAGTCTGCCGCGGCTCTGGCCTCCTCTGCGCCCAATGCGCCGCCTGGCTGGTCACGGCCCCAGCTGCTGCCGGGGACGGACGAGCGAGCTGCGGCGTTCGGACACTAACTCTGCTGATCTTTGACTGGTGGGATGGGCGGTGCGGTGCCGTGTGCTGCCCCGGGGTAGCCGACCGGCCTGGATCGGTGCGCTAATGCGATAAGGCTCCAAGCAAACTCAGTCCCACAGGGCTTGGCTTGAGCGTGTTTCCATCTCGAGCAAGCTTCAGCCGAAGTTGAGCTGGGTATAATCAGCGTATGTTGAATAATTTAACATGCACGAACATTTCGAGACGCTTTGGAGTCTAAGTAGTGTTGTGGCAACAAACTGCGTTGTTTTATGTTTTAATAGTAATAATTATAACGCTGAGATTGTTCAGTGCCCGTGCGATATAAGGCATGGTAATCGTGAAAAGGAATTAAGATGACCTTACAATAATTGTATGCGTGATATTGGTATGCGTCGTCTTTTATATGCTAACTTTTCGCTTCTTTGAAGAAGGTTCGTGACCAAAAACTCATTACAAATGCATCGCACTGTACCAATATCTCGTGTCTTATTATTATAAGGTCATCTCATTTCCCTTTGATGCTTTTAATTGCGTTGTAATCGGCAGCACATGTGATACAGCGCTGCAGGAAAGGAGTTGCCTTTCAGCTTCTCTCCACCCTTTGAAGGTGACCCGGCTAGCTGGGAGGCCCCAAAGTTTACCAGTTAGCGAGACTTACAGTGCTGACAGTTGTGAGGAGGATGCTAAAGACCGTCGGGAGAGAGACGCTCGGATATGCCCAAAGGAAAGAATGGCAGCGAGGAGCGCTGAACCAGCTCAAGTTTTGGCGTTGCCGTATTTGAGCGGTGATTGACACATCCGAGGTGCCGTTGGAATTTGATGGGCTGGTACTACATCTGGGTTTAGGTGTTTCTTCGAGATGCACCAAGTGAGGATCGGAAAAAGAAGACGTCGTGGTGAACTCCAAAAGCAGTACGGCTTGCTTCATTTTTTTACGCTTCATCGCTGTCGTGCATTTCATGCCGACGTACTTTCAGCGGTCGAATTTTATGATTTTAAACCATTATGAAATGGTTTCTCTTGTTTGCAACATGCAGCGCAGAAGATTCTGTCCCGCGACGGACGCACCTTACCACCTAACAATCACCCTCGCTGCAGACTGGAAACTGAAAGCGAAAGCATATAGTAACAAGCGTCCGGGTGGTATGCATTTCACTATCGTCTGCGTGTCGCCGAATTCGGGCCCGTTCACAGCGAGACAAAGCCGCCGTAGCGTCTGCAGCACCGCTGCGAACTTTCTCCGCGCGTCCGGTGCGGAAGTGGGCGTCGCCGCGGCGCGAGGAGCCCCTCGGACACTCCACTCGCACTCATTCATCGACGCCATCCCCCGAAAGTGAAACGTTGCCGGACAAAGGTGCCGGCGTCCGACGGCGATCTTGCGGGGCAGTCCGCCGTTTCGCGTCGGCTATACAATCTCCGACGCGAGCCGCGTGTCAGGCAGTGTCTCTCGGGGAGGTGCTGCTGGCTGGTGTGCTCTTCCGGGCAGTTCGGAGCCTCACGGAAACGGAGCCGCCGTCGCAGCCGCGCCTCGGTCTCATCTGACCGGGTCTTGACGCTGAGATCGTGACGCCAGACGCGATGTTGGTCGTCGTGTTGCTGTGCGCGGCGCTGGCGCAGCCCTCGCTGGCTAAGACCGGCTGGCCGTCCGGGCCCGCAGGCTCCAACGTGACCCTGGCCAGGTCGGAGCGCGACCTCAGCTGGCTGACCTCCTGGTTGCCGTGGTCGCGGCGGGGCGCGGCGCAGCAGACGAGCACCGCTGAGCCCGACCGCACGGGCGGGCGCAACGGCAAGTTTCTCAACATCTTCACCATCGTGCGCTTCGCCAACGAGGAGTGCCGCGGCTCCAACGGCCTGAACGGCACGTGCGTGTCGCCGGCCGAGTGCCGCCAGCGCGGCGGTCAGGACTCTGGCACCTGCGCCGGCAGCTACGGCGTCTGCTGCACCATGACGGGCGGCTGCGGCAACTTCACGCGCTACAACAACTCGTACTTCGAGAGCCAGAGCAGCGGCGCGTCGCCCAACTGCCAGTACACGGTGTACCGCGACCCTGGGGCGCCCATCTGCCAGCTGCGCCTCGACTTCGAGACGTTCAAGCTGGCGCAGCCGGACTCGGTGACGGGCCAGTGCACCACGGACGCCTTCTCCGTGTCGGGCAACGTCAACGCCGTGCCGGTCATCTGCGGCGAGAACGCCGGCCAGCACATGTACATCGACGTTGATCCGAACTCGGACCGCACCGTGCTGCAGATCTCGACCTCGCAGAGCGCGCAGGGCACGGCCGTCACGCGCAACTGGAAGATTCGCGTGCAGCAGATCGAGTGCAACAGCACGACGCGCGCGCCGTCCGCCTGCCTGCAGTACTTCACGGGCGTCACCGGCACGCTCAAGTCGTTCAATTTCGACGGCTCGGAGACGGGGCCGCACCTGGCCTCGCAGAACTACGCCGTCTGCATCCGCGACGAGGCCCTGTACTGCAGCATCGAGTACGCCGCCTCGACCGTCACCAACGCCTTCCGGCTGGACCAGGCGACGACGTCGCAGAAGGGCTCGCAGTGCACCTTCGACTTCCTCACCATCGACGGCATCTCGCAGGATGGCCTGCTGCAGTCGTCCGGCCAGCAGACCGGCACCCAGAACCAGGCGTTCGACCGCCACTGCGGCGGCGTGTGGGCCGGCACCAACTCGGCGCAGGCCTCCGCGCCCACGCCCGCCATCACCTACATGAAGCCGTACATCGTGCGCGTCCGCTTCGACAACACCGAGTCGACCGGCGAGTCGGACAACCGCGGCTTCTCGCTCAACTTCATCCAGAAGCCGTGCAGCGTGCTCGGCCGGAGGTAGACGGCACGTAAGGAGCCGCTGGGGAAGGAGTGCGTGTCGGAGGAGGCACGCGGCATGACTTGGAGAAGAACACTAGACGGTTTGAAGAAGATGTTCGTGGCGGACCACGGCCGGGGCGCGGCTGCGCAGCACATTACCCTCAGCTGCCGGGTCAGGTCATGTCCCAGCGCGGGAGGTGCGGCGAACGTCGGTCTGCTGAGGGTGTTTGTCATCTTTTGCCGCCACTCGGCCGTGGATCGGCGGCGTCGCTTCGCTGCAGCGCCGCGCCCTCTTGACATGTAGGTTAGAACCCGTGTTGTGGCATATTCAAACTACGCCGTCTAAGAGTAAATTTATTTAAATGATATTTATAGTCTTCCAACAGTGTAGTTATACAGATTCAGAATTTTGATAGATAAGCAGCAGTGATAAACTAATACCGTCAAGTTAATTGTTTTTTCAAGGATCGCGAGGCGACCACGCACCCGATGTGCCCCTGACCTCAAATGACATCGAAGGCAACTGTGTAAAGACGCGGCGTGGACCAGGACAACTGTCTGAATGGCGCCGTGGAAACTATTTGTCCGTATTGAGAAAGGCTTAAGTGACAAACTTTTGGCGGCTATAGATACTGTGAAACGAAAATAGATCTAACTGAATAGGTCATTGCATACCGCGGCATGGAGGACGGGAATTTATCTTGTTTGTGGTAACAGATAAATGGTTCAAAACAATGTTTTATTTGTATATGCACATTCATATCATTTCTGTGTCTGCCTTTTTGTGTGTTGATACATTGGCGGTCCTTATTTTATACTGCGCAGCGTGATGTTTATAAGTCGTCCATTTAGAGTATGGAGATTCAGGCTGGCTTGTTCATCATTTGGGTGTCTGGGTGCGTGGGTTGTGTTTCAGAAGTGTATTCAATGCGCGCTGTAAATGCAACTTGACATGACTGCATCCATAAACTGTTGCCGGGATCGAACAAGCAGTTGTACGTCATTGGTGTCGTACATTAATATATGGAAACAATAATCGCGACGTTACTTTACAGAGCTGATTTGCTCTGAGTCGCATCCAAAGCACGCAAACGCACAGTGTTAAAAGAGCACATTTCACTTTTTTCATTTCTGTCAAGTCACCGCATCCTGGCCCGATACCCGGCAGCTGGCCGGATGAGGAGCTGACGCCGACACGCCCTCGGTGCCGATGCAGAGTTAATGGACGTCCTCACCCTCTGAAATTGCGCGGGAAGGCACGTTCGAGGGCATTGAGAGCCGCTTCAGCGCGCGCCGAGCGCCGCTGAGGGCCCGCCGGCCGGCCGCTGCGCCGGTGGCGGCTGAAAACGACGGCGCCCGGCAATAGGGATGACGGCAGCTGCTTTTGCGTATTAAATGGGAATTCCTGAAATGCGTCGGAGAAAAAAATGTGTTGGGAAGAAGTGCCCTGGTAAACAACCGAAGGCGCGAAGGGCTTTACGACTTTCGGCCGAAGGGGTTGGCGTCTATGTAAAGAACCAAAACGAATATACGATTTTGTTTTGTTTTTTAACACTGATTTATTTATCTAACAGCAGTTGGAACGCGATCGTACAATTGTATTTGTTGGCATGGTCTCCTGCCATTTGTATCGAACGCCACCAGGGCATGGCATTTAATTCACCGGACTTCGTTTCGGCTTGTCAAACCCGCCCGTCACTGTTGATTTAGTGGCTGGTCATTTGACCGCAATGGCTGGAGTCGCGGAGTGATTCCGGGCCCCTCAGCTAGTCAGAGTAGTTCATGTCGTGTGGCTGGTGTAAAACATTCTGACAGTGTATCTTGCGTTGTCCTGCGTCTCACAAATAAACAGCTGATGGTGATTGATAAGAAAACATGTCAGCTAGCACAGTGATGATCCTCTTACCTCCGAATAACTAAGCCATGCCATCCCTTGTATGAGTGCGCTGCCCTTGTCACACGTATTCTCAGGGGATGCGAATGATGCGCTGTATTTGGGGCTTATGCTCGCACCCACAGGCGACCGTAGCGGGGGTCCGTGCCTGAGCCTCGCATGTTGGATGCGTGGTGCTGACATGGTTCATCGCTAGCTTTCGATGCTCGACATGCTACCCAGCTGATATCTATATTGCCGCACTGGCGAGGTCTTTTGTACAGCAAGACGCCCTCTGTGGAAACCCCGCGTCATACTGCCGTGTCTCTCAGGCACTCGCTGTTTATTTTCGCACTCGTTTTCCTGCAAATTTCGCTGCACTGCATTATCTCACGAATCAGATCGCGGTGCACGCCTGAGGACGTGCGGCAGCCCGCTAGGCGCTCCCTGCCCCCGCGCGCCGCCACGGCCGGACCACGACGCCGGTCCGAGTGTCCGGTTTGGCCCGAGCCGTTCTCGGTCCGTGCCAAAGCGGCCGCTGCTTGTTAGCCGCTTGTTAGCGAAATGCCGGGAGGATTGAAACCGGGCGCGGCCTCCGGCGATCACTCGAGAAGGGTTTGTGGTGCCGTCTTGCTGTGCGCGGGCAAAGGACTGCCAGACGGCTTGAGATACGTCCGAAAGTCCTGCCAGCGCTATGATGACCTGACCTCGCCGTGATGGATGATGTTTTGTGTGCGGTCTACAGTCGTTGCGGCGTGCGAGTTTCGGTTGAGAAACTGGCCCCCGGGGAAATCTACGGTCCTTGTTGCCAGGCAGTGGAAGGCTATCGAATGGCGCAGTTGTCATGGCTTCAGACTGCGGTCGGACTTCTGCGCTACGGATTCGTGCAGACGCTGCAATAGTCAATAACCTTGACCCTGAGGTTGGATACGGCCGTGACCGTCGATCTGCACCTGCCTCTTAATGGAAATGCAGCGACCGCTGGCTTCGTCGCTATTGGAGCGTTCGCTCAGTGTCTTTGAACATCTCTGCCTCACTGCCGGCGCCATCATGATCCTGCCTGACCCTGACCTGGCGGCAGAGGCCACTCCGCCGACCCTCGTTGACCCGGGCCGACCCGTGGCCTTGACCGGCGCCGGCGGGCGCGTGTAACCGATACACAGTCAGCTGGCGGCCGGGCGCGCTATTTTTACCGCGGCGGGCAACGTGGCCGGGCCCGATCGGCGGCGGCGGCGGCGCGCCGGCGCCAGTGACACGGCCGGGCCCCGGCCGCCGCGCGCGCGCGAACCGAGAGCGCCGGCCTACCGCGTGCAGCTGGCCGCCACGGCGCCCCAGTGTCAATAAATACGGTGTGCGGCAGGTCTGCGGAACAGGTGAGCCGCTGTTCACGAGGAGCGGGCGGGCACGTTCGGTGGGGTGATGACGCCGCCGCCAGGACTGCGGTGCCGCTTCCCCTCCCCCTCCCCCTCTCGTCCCGGCCCGGCGGCGGCGAGCCGCGATCGAAGCGGTCCAGCCGGCGGCCGACGAACGCCGGTCGCCCCGCCCCCTCCGCGGCACCCGGCTCCCCTCCTACCGTCTGTGGGGACGGCGGATTAGGGTCACCAGACGTGGTTGTGCTTCCCAGTGCCACAGATTCTCCCCGCGGAGCCGGAGCAGGGGTATTGGCATTCTGCCGTCGCTTTCTGATTGTTCTCCTGCTAGTGGGTCGTCTGCGCGCGGGTGGTGCGCCTATTCATGCCGTGTCTAGGTGCTCCGTTGTCTTCAGAGACTGAGTCGCGCCGGACGGCGACCGACCGCGCCGCTGGCGTCGGGCCAGACATCATGGGGTTGTGCCGCGGCGCCTGGTGTTCTGGTCATTGCGCCGCCCGGCCGCAGAGGCGCTGCCAGTCGCCGGTGCCGGGAGGTGATCGCGCCCAGATTCCAGCCGCCGGCCCTCCCCGTAGGAAGGGGGAGGGGGAGGGGCGTCCGGCTGCGGCGGACGGCGGGACGCGACCGACGCCCGGTCCCGGCGCCGGTGCCGGTGCGTCGCGTGCCTTCCGGCGGTGTGTCTGGTCGGCCGTGACGAGCCTGCATGCTCCCGAGCATCGTGGACGTCTGTTGTGAGGCGCCCCCCCCCCCCCCCCCCGCTCTTTTCCATGTGACTAACGGCGCGTCCAAGGAAGGCCCAGGCGGCGACTCAGTCGGCTTGCGCCGGCGACGCGCGTGGACGCGTGTGGGCGTGCGACCCGGACCGGCACCAGCCCAGCAACTTCCGCTGCTGCTGCTTCTCCCTCTGCCGGTCTCGTCTCCCCGCAGCGGGCGCGCTGCCGTCAGTCGAGGTGCCTTCTTCCAGCCAAAGGACGGGGCCGCCTGTGGGTGTCGCGCTTTTCGCCCTGTCGGTAAACAGAGAACACGGAAGGCGGAACGGCCAGCGCGATGCGGAGGCGGCGGCCGGCGGCCGGCGGCGCGGCCTGTGATCGACGCCGTGTTAGTATTGGCTGCTGGCGGCTGGCTACCGTCGCCCCTGGACTCACCTCCCCCCTCCCTCCCTCCTGGGTCACTGGGGTTACCGAGGACCGATTCGGGTCACGTCCGGCGAGGGCTGGGCTGTGGGCAAAGCGGAGCCGTCGGTCTTCTGAGGCCGCTCGAGCCGGGATGAAATGGCAGACGGGTATGCTAATGAGGTGGTACGTTGGAGCTGCCAGCTTCCCGAAGACGGACGCCGGCGGCGAGGCTTCAAGATTGTGGCCGTGCCAGCGATGCCGGCGAGTTGTCTGGGACAGTTGCGAGTGGGCATTTCCTTGCGCGGTTCATTTCCCACGCAGTGATCCTTGAAGTCCACAGGGGCTACATTTTGACCCCCACCTGCTCCATGCGCAAACCAAAGACACGAAAATCATTTTCGTTGTCGCGCCCCTAACAACTTTGTTTGCCTGGTGCCGATGGCAGGCACGTGCATGAGCTGGTGCCGGCGTTCCCGGAGCTATCGTGCATGCCAGGGTCATTTCCCATTATCTTGTTGTGGCGAGGATCGGGCGGGCGTGGTGGGCCCTTCTGCCCGGCTGATTCCCACACTGCGTGGCACCGCTCTGGCCGGCGCTCCCCGCCGGCGGAGCCGTGCGAGGCCGACGGCGGTGGCCGGCCCGGACCACTCGCCGGAGGCAGACAGCGGCCCGTCGTCGGGCGGGGCAGGGGGCACCTGCTGGGCGCAGGGGCGCCGCCGCTGCGTGGGGTGCGCTGCCAACGGCGGCCGCCCGCCTTGGGCGGCGTGCTGCGAACACGCGCTGTGACCCGGCAGGCAGCTGCAGACGGGGGCCGAGGGAGCTGAGAGCCTGTTGTTTGGGGCTGGACATATGGATGGAAAGGTGTGTGGGAGCGGCACGCGGCGTGGTGGTGCCAAGGACGCGATGGGAGCTGGCGGCGTGAAGTTCTCGTTGATGTTGGATGCGCCCGACTTCAGTTACTTTTCCTAAAAAAAAATCGGTGAGATAGGTTTTGGACTTTGTCGAAAATTTCCTTTTTATCCGATATAGTGTTCTTCATTGTACTCAGCTCCATAGTGTCTATCCACTGCCGCATTTATGTTGCCCTTTTAAAACGCGTGGAGCGGAACACAAGTCATGTAATTGCCTGACCGCACAGCCGCAGCGTCCAAAAGCGAAGGCCCAAGGAGATCGATCTCTGTTACGACATTGCTGTCACGGTGAGAACGGCCGGCGTCTGGTGTCCTCCGCCGTGCCGTGCCGTGCCGTGCTGACCTCGCCTCTGACCTGGAAGAGACGAGTCGTGCCGTGCCGTGCCGTGCCGTGCCGTGCCGTGCCGTGCCGTGCTGACCTCGCCTCTGACCTGTTGCAGGGACGAGTCGACCGAGTCTAGCCGCTCGGACGACCATGCGTCCGGCTCATTCGCGGACGACAACAACAACTTCACCAAGAACATAACGATGACGTCCGAGGACCTGCTACAACCCGGCCACGTGGTCAAAGAGCGCTGGAAAGTGGTCAGTGACGGTTCCTGCGTGGCCCGCCCAAGTCTGCCTCCTGTCATTGTGGGGGTCCTCTTCAGTCGGACGGTCGCTGGCCACCCGGCCGTGCCGTGATCGTTTGTTGCAGGCCACCCGGCCGTGCCGTGATCGTTTGTCGCAGGCCACCCGGCCGTGCCGTGCATGGGTCGGGGATCGTCGCGATCGTCTGTCGCAGGGCACCGGGCCGTGCCGTGCGTGGGTTGGGGATCGTCGCGACCGTCTGTCACAGGCCAACCGGCCGTGCCGCGCATAGATCGGGGATCGTCGCGATCGTTTGTCGCAGGCCACCCGGCCGTGCCGTGATCGTCTGTCGCAGGGCACCGGGCCGTGCCGTGCATGGGTTGGGGATCGTCGCGATCGTTTGCCGCAGGCCACCCGGCCGTGCCGTGCATAGGTCGGGGATCGTCGCGATCGTTTGTCGCAGGCCACCCGGCCGTGCCGTGATCGTCTGTCACAGGGCACCCGGCCGTGCCATACATGGGTTGGGGATCGTCGCGATCGTTTGCCGCAGGCCACCCGGCCTTGCCGTGCATGGGTCGGGAGCTCTCAGTGCGTTTCCCGTGCACACAGTTTGTGCCCGACTTGAACCTGAGCTTGAAGTGCGCCCTGTTGTCAGCCGAGCCAGCGTCGCAGTGCTGACGCGGTTATGTATTGCTGGTGGGGTGATGCTGTTCCGCACGGTGTGGTCTGCAGCAGATTAGCCGACGTGTCAAGCCGTGGATGGCGCGCGGATGCCCACCCGTGTGCTGCGTGACGCTGCCAGTGTGTTCTTCGTAAATGCATGATTAAATTGAAGCGCAACAACGCACATGCCGGTGATGCAATTGGCATGTGGCAATGCTTGGCACCCGATGATCATTCTTTTAGAGCGATCTTGCTGCGAATGATCGCCCGTCGGTGCTCTGCGCATTGGAGAAGGGTTTGTTATCGCTGCGCTAAGACACTGCCCACCGGACCTGCGGCATCCTGGGCGGGTCCTCATCTCCCCCCCCCCCCCCCCCCGCCACCTGTCGGCACCGGCATACCGCATGCCCGCGTCTCCCGACCCTCCAACAGGGCCACACCTCGGCTCCGCGTCTCCCGACCCTCCAACAGGGCCACACCTCGGCTCCGCGCCTCCCGACCTTCCAGCTGGGTCGCACCTTGGCTCCGCGTCTCCCGGCCTTTCAACAGGGCCACACCTCGGCTCCACGTCTCCCGGCCTTTCAACAGGGCCGCACCCGGGCCGGCCGAGGCCTGAGCACCGTGCTGCGACGGTGCTGGTGGTGCTGGTGCCTGCGGTGACGGGTGGCTGGTGCTGGGCCGGACGAGTGGTGCTGGTGCCCGGCTGTCGCTCCCGCACTAATCCGGCGCATGTTGGCAGGTCAAGAAGATCGGTGGCGGTGGCTTTGGCGAGATTTACGAGGGCCTCGATCTGGTCACCAAAGAGCATGTAGCGCTAAAGTTAGAGTCGGCCAAGCAGCCGAAACAGGTGCTCAAAATGGAGGTTGCCGTGCTGAAAAAGCTGCAAGGTGAGTGTTGACGCGCCAGAACCGGGTCAGCGCGCGCCGACATACACGGCGACCTGTCTGACGATTAGTTTCGCCACCGTACCAAAATGGCGTGCCGCCCATCTGCCCAGCGACGCCCTGTTCGGAAACTCCTCATTTTCTTCAACTCGTGCGCGTCGCTATGCGATCCTCGGAGTTCGTCGACGTCTCTATCCGCTCCGCATCTCCGCACGCCGTCGTCCTCTCTCAGCACGTACTGTCCGGCTGGTGCGGTGTGCTCGTCGCCGGCCGGCGGCTGCTGCGCGGCCCCGGGCGTGTTGACTTTGGGTCCAGCGCGCTACCGGCTCATCAGCGCCGGCCGCCGACGCCGACGCATACGGAAAGCCCTGGGCGCCGCGTCATGAATGCCCGGCCGGGCCGTGATAAGATAGCAGACGGACGGCCGCGCCTAAGGGAATGTGGGTCGTCCCCGGCTCTCAGGCGGCGCGCGAGCGCCGCCGGGTCGGCTGAGGCTACCGGGTGGAGTGGACACAGGCTGGAGCGGACACAGGGTGGAGCGGACACAGGGCGGAGTGGACACACAGCGGAGCGGACACAGGGGAGCGGACACTGGGCGGAGCGGACGCAGTGCGGAACGGGTACAGACGTGAAGAAGTCAACCATCGGGTGTGGAGGGACGACAGCCGCTGGTCCGCCGCGCCCGCGCCAGCGACGAACGCCAGCCGGCCGCCGACGGCTGGGGGCGGCACGCCGGTGTGCGTCACGCCCGTGCGAGAGAGGCGGCGGGGGCGGCGCTATCGACCGGGCCACGCGGTCGCGGGGAGGGTGCGCCGCCCGCCACGCGGCCCCGTCGTCACCGGCCGCCCCCGCCGCCCCCGCCGCCGCCCCCGCCCCCGCCGCCGTCGTCGCGGTCAGTCGATACGCCGGTGGTACGCACCGCCGGCGGTGTCGACCCGGCGCGGTGGACCAGCGCCGCCCCGAGCTGCGGACGAGGCCCGGCCCGGCGGCGGGCACTGGGAGGGCGCCGGCCTGGACTCGCAGCGCCTTGTTTGGCCGTCCCGTCTCGTTCGTGGTGGTTGCCGACGCAGCCGCATGCGTCGTGAAGTAATATAACGATAATAATAATATTTGGCCTGATGATATCAGTGATAATGATTGCAATGTCATTACCAGTGGTAAACATTGTAATAAAACCATGCTAAAAATTATTCTAATGCGCTTCCTTATACGTAATAATGGTGGCAGGCGCCTGTCGAGCACGCCTCAGTGGCTCCAAACGTGCGGGAAGCCAGCATGAGTTGCGCGCTGCAGGGTGGGAACAGTGCAGATCCGCGAGGCGTCTCAAAATCCGGCCGGTGTTCTGACCCGGCCTATGCCTTGACCCGGCCGGTGTTCTAACCCGACCGGTGTTCTCACCCGGTCGGTGTTCTGACCTGGTCGCTGTTCTGACCCGGCCGGTGTTCTGACCCGGCCGATGTTCTGGCCCGGCCGGTGTGCTGCCAGCCGAGCCGTAGCCACCCGCTGTGTGCTGTCGGCGTTGTGTGCCTGCCTTTGTCAGCCGGAAAGCCAGGGATGACTGATGGAGGGAGAGGGCGGAGCGAGCTGGGCGACATGCCGGGAGCAGGGCATTGGCAGTGATGTGGCGTACGGAATAAACGAGGATGGCCGAGCGCGATCCAATCGATGCCGTGTACGGCCAGTGGGGAGGAAGGGAGATACCGGAGGGTTATAGGTGCTTTATGAGCTGAGCTGTAAGTCTTGCTCTGTAAGCTCCCAGATTATTGAGATTGAGCCAATTTGTTTGGGGGTTTTCTACATTTTGAGCTAGTAATATGACAATAGATGCCTTCGGCCGGAGCAATACAATAAGATAGTGGAGGGAGAGGGAAAAGGCCTCTTATTAACTCCGGGATTATGCAAAAATGTGTGCCCTCCTAGTCCCCAGCGCAATGAGCCAAATAAAGGAGAGGATTGAGGGCAGGGAGCGTCGGAATGAGGCCGAGGGAGGGAAGACGGGAGATTCAGCTGGAGGGCGGGGAGTGTCGGAATGAGGCCGAAGGAGGGGAAGGGGGAGGGGAAGAGATTCGGCGCCGTACAGCCCTCTGTAAGAGATGTTTGACCCAAAATTTGCGGAATTTCCGGACAAAGAAGAATGGGTAGGAAATGGCTCAGGTGTCTCCCACCTTCCGTGGAATTAGAACGTCTGTGTTTGCTTTGGACGCCCTCATTACCAACTGGCCAAACCTGGCTACTAGAATGACTGTGGTTAATTGGGTGGGTGGCACGCAGCCGCCAAACCGGGAAGTGAACATCCGCCTGTCCGTTGTGTGCATATGCGGGTTTGCAGACACCCTCGTCATTTGCAGCTGCTTGTGAGAATGCGGGATGCGTGAAGTGGGAGCCCGAAATTGATTTGGTGGCACGCTCCCTGCGTAAGCCGGTTTAGAGCCGTAGAAATTCGACCGTAATTGGACGCCGCCCGCTTGCTTACCAGATCAAACAGGCCTATCACAGCCGTGATGGCGGCTGCAGTCGAGCGTGGTCGCGATACCCCAGCCAAGAGCGTCGCGCGGCCACAAGACGCGCAGGCGCGGCTCGTCCCTGTCGGCGCCCACCAGCCGGGCGGAGCAGGCGTCTGCGGTGAACAGCTTGGCTGTAGCGCGGCGTTCGCGCGCGCCCCGTTCCCTCAGGTCACCGGGCGCCGCAGCCGAACCGGAGAGACGCCGCGCGCCGAGCCCCGGTCCGCGCCCGCAGCCTGTTGGGCACAGGTGTATACGCGGCCAGATAGATTGCCCTTCCAAGTGTCGCTCAACTATTGCTGTCTCTGGAATATATATAGAATACGTGACATCCTAGGCTGCCTCTTGTATCAATACTTCATGTTTTAAGTTGTCCTTGTACAGCTAGGAGCTCAGAGCTCAGAGCTCAGAGCTCAGAAACGTTCGCAACATGTTTCAACGCCATTGGTAAGTAATATTGCGGGAGATCAGCTCTCGCTGAGCTCCTGGCAGTCGAGGGCTGGTTTACGGGTGGCGTTGCGTGGCAACACTTATCGGTGACGTAAACACGGCTGTCGCGTTCTTTGCTCGTCGTCCGGCCGAGACGAAACGCTCTCCACGGCCCGCCCCTCGCCCTGCGACAGGACGTGCGCCACAGAGTGGCGAGACAGTCATGTGATGCAGCTCCCATTGCCTTGGGTGTCATCATGAGGCCGTGGTCTGCGGCTCGGGATGCCTGGCGGACGGCGAATTGTAACTCTTTTTTTTAATCGGCCAATTTTCTGAAGAATACGAATGCGGTCCGTAGCTTTGCCTGCGGTGATCGGCTGAAAGTGCTGAGCAATTTTCGTGATGTTTACAAACGCTCGTCGTTGCTGGTAGTTCATTGCGATATGTAACTAGCATTCATTTACGCGCGTTCAGTCAAATAAATAATACATACTTTCACCCGTCTTCGTATGTTGAGGATCGATATCACCATGGCAGACCGCGCTGCTTAGTTGTAGGAGTTGTACGCAGGGTTGGTCGGCTGGGGAGCCTTATAGCTCGGGGCGGCGTAGGTGGACTCCGGGGCCTTGTAAGCCGGGGCGGCGTAGGTCGGCTCAGGGGCCTTGTAGGCCGGTGCAGCGTATGTGGGCTCCGGGGCCTTGTAGGTCGCAGCAGCGTACGTCGGCTCAGGGGCCTTGTAGGCCGGGGCAGCGTAGGTGGGCTCCGGGGCCTTGTAGGCCGGTGCGGCGTAGGTCGGCTTAGGGGCCTTGTAGGTCGGTGCGGCGTAAGTCGGCTTAGGGGCCTTGTAGGCCGGTGCGGCGTAGGTCGGCTCCGGGGCCTTGTAGGCAGGGGCGGCGTAGGTCGGCTCCGGGGCCTTGTAGGTCGGGGCAGCGTACGTCGGCTCGGGGGCCTTATAGGTCGGGGCAGCGTATGTCGGCTCCGGGGCCTTGTAGGCAGGGGCGGCGTAGGTCGGCTCCGGGGCCTTGTAGGTCGGGGCAGCGTACGTCGGCTCGGGGGCCTTATAGGTCGGGGCAGCGTACGTCGGCTCTGGGGCCTTGTAGGCCGGCGCGGCGTAGGTCGGCTCCGGGGCCTTGTAGGTCGGGGCAGCGTACGTCGGCTTAGGGGCCTTGTAGGTCGGTGCGGCGTAGGTCGACTTCGGGGCCTCGTAAGCTGGCGCGGCATAGCTCTGTTCCCGGGCCTTGTGAGCCGGCGCGGCGTAGGCGGGCTGCGGGGCTTTGTAGGCGGGCTGCGGGTGGTACTCCGGGTACTGGGCCTCGCCCTCGTACTCCACCTGGGCGACAAAGCCGGACTCGCCGTCCACGCTGTAGGAGACCTTCTGCGTGCGGCCGTCGGGCAGCGCGACGTAGTAGGCGCCGCTGGTGGCGTAACCGTCCCGGCTCTCCTGCGCCGAGTACTGCGGCGCGTACTCCCCGTAGCCTTTCACCGCGTAGTCGAACACGTACTGGGCCGGCTCCTGAGGACGAGAGGTGGGTGCCAGGGCGCGCTGATAGTCGTCTGGGTGGGGATCGGCGCATCGGCTGTTGAGGCCGTCAGTCCCACCAACCCGGGGCAGAAGCCTGGACGGTGAACGTATCCCGCGGTGGGGATCAAACCCAGCTCGTGACGCGGCGGCTCAGGTGTTTGGCCTGCGCCCGGCCTTGTGAAGGCCGGCCACGCGACGCCGGGAGCCATCTGGCCCGACGATAAACCACGGGACGGCTGAACGAGCCCCATGTGTGGCGGCGCCGCCAAACACCGCACGTGCGTCATCCCTGGGCCGCTATCGCGAGCCGCATCTCGCGCTGAGTGTTTGGGCGGCCCCGGCGCGCAAATAATGCCGGGGAGGTTCAGCAAACTGCAGGACGAAAGCGGTATTGGGGTGTTTTTTTTTTGGCACGCACTGTCACGCTTACCTCATACTCTGGCGTATTGTAGCTGGGCGCGGCGTAGCTCTGAGCATGGCGGCTGGGAGCAGCGTAGCTTTGAGCCTGCTGGCTCGGAGCTCCGTAGCTCGGGGCCGCAGTGGTGGCGGGGGCCTCGTAGCTCGGGGTGGTTCCCTTGTCGGCGGCGGCCACGGCCAGCACGGCGGCGACAAGGAAGAGCTGCGGTCACGCGGAGGTCAGAGGTCATGCAGAAGTCATCGTCGACCTGAAAGCGGCCACGTGGCGGGGCCCCTCAAGCAGCGTTTCTGTGCGACGTCACGAGCGCTAATGCTGGACGCCATTACCCAGCGACGCCACGAGCACCAGTGCTGAACGCTATTGCCTGTTTCTTGGAAAAGCCGAGCACCAGCCGCCTGTGGGAATGACCCCGGGGATCCCCGTGAGAGTGGCGGCAGTGGTGCGGCGTCGATCGCGGCCGCCGTCTCTCACCTTCATGCTGCTGCTGCGGGTGTGGCTGCTGGCCGGTCAACTGGACTGTTGGCTCGACCCGCGGACCGGCGCCTTATGTAGGCGGGCGGACAGGGTCAGCCGCCCGCCCCGGGGCCCTCGCGTCCCGCGCGCCGGCCGGCCCGTGCCCCCCGATCGCGGTAATAGCGTCCGTTGCGTCACGACCGCTGCCGGCGCGGCGCGGAACGCACGCGCCACGCCGGCAGAGCGGTTCCTGGTGGGGCCCGTGCTGGGGACGGGCGCGGCCTGGCCGGGGGCTTCAGTTGACGGTCAGGCCTCGCGGCTGGCCGCTGGCGTCAGCAGCTGGGTCGAGAGTGTGCTGGTCGGGTTGTGATCTCGTCCCAGACGTGTCGAACTCAGGTCCCGTTGGCTGAGGGCGGGCTCGGCATCGGCCTGAGACAGGTCGGGTTCAGGTTATGCCCATGTCCGGCTGAGGGTCCCCGCTCGTTAACTCGTGTCGAGCCGCCCCGCGCCAGGACGTCAGTTGGAGGCCCGTCACCGGAATGGTCACGGCAGGGTACAGTCCCCATGCTCCGTTTTGTTTACGGGCAGCTGCTGTCAATGGGCTCGACACTCCCCCTGCCAGACCCGGGATTTGTAATGTTGACACTGACGTGCCTGCATAAACCTGGACGTCGATGCCGTAGCGGGGAACCGTTGACGTTTTCTAAGATACGATTGTGTATGAATGCGGCCCGGCTGGTGTCGGGCCGCGCTGTGTGACTGTGATCGACATGCGAGTAAACGGAGATGCAGGCGGATCAGTTGGCTACCAGCCGGTGTTTTCGAATTCACACGGCACCATGGTGCGAGTCTGGGGCGTGCCTCTGACGCAAGGAGGCCGTCTGTGCCGGGACTGCGTGCTCTGTACGCCACTCCACCCCCACCCTCGGCTGGGTATCGTCCAGCCGTCACACCGGCGGTCCACGAGCGGGTCCCGGAGCTGTGGCCGGCGGCGACGACACCCCGCGTACGTGCCGTGCAGCGGCGGCGCGCGGCAGCGAGCCGGGCCCCTCAGAGCGTCGGCCGGCAGGTCAACACGCAGCCGGCGCGCCAATCAATAGCGCGCTCCCGGCAGCGGGCCGAACAGGAGGCGAGCGTGGCCGACCGGCGGCGGGTCAGCCGGGTCACACACGGCTGCACCCGCTGGATCGGAGCAGTGACGTCCCTCGCGAGCATGTGCGCCCTGGAAAATGGCGTCGGGCTTGTGTGGGAAGGAAGGAGGCTCTACGATGCGCTGCATCTATCGCGATTAGCCGTCAGGTCCGGCACACGCCCCGCTATTGTGGTACAGAATGATGAAGCGCGGCTGGTGTTAGATGGTCGGGCTGCTACAGCTTTCCAGAATAAAATGTTCGCTATGCGGAAGACACGGGGCGTGAAAAATGGCGCTTCCAGCATGGGATGAAGATTGCAGAGCTCTGCTGCGGATTGCGCGGCTCAGCCCCACGGCAAAGCATTTTCATTTATTATGTTGGGAACGGACATCGGAGTTGATTGCACCTTGACCTACTGGAACACTATCCATTTGAGTTGCTTTTCCCCAGAAGGGCACATCGATCATGATTTGAGCCAGACTCCGCCAGCGGGCGTCAGTATCGTGACTGGGACCACAGACATCGTGCAATACCGCTTTGGTTGATCCGGTTTTTCAACAAAGTGCATAAGCGTCTGCCGCCGCGTGTGCAATAACTTGACGTTGGGGAACGCCCTGGGAGGCTCCATTCGTGCAAGGCATGAGATAAGGCCATGGCTATTAAGGCATAGAATGTGACTGATCTGGGTCTGGAATGGGGTCATGAAGTGGTGGAGCAGTGCAGAATCTTCCGAAGCAGAGCAGTTTTCGGAACGGAGATGTCTAGAGTAAAGTCCCTCCAGCCAGCCTTCTAGCCAGGCGCAGCCCACAGTCGATCCTTATCACGCCACTCAATTTTGCTGATTGCTAAGCGTGCCATATTTCATGTTTCTAGTCTCTCCTGTTTGGCTATCACCACTGGCTGGTGTGGCACGCGCGGCCACATGCCTGAGCATCGCACAGTCTGCCGACAATGATTGGATTTTCGTCGTTGCCAGTGGAAGTTTCAGTTCGTTCCGTGTTCGTGTTTCGCGGCATCCGTTCAAACATCACGTGTCGATGCTGATAAGTGTGTAATGGGCCTTTTCAGTTTGGATGACCTGGCAAAAACGCTCATTAGCCCCTGGCACGTGACCTAAACGTGGTCTTGTTTTGCTTCGCGCGCCGCCGATCAAAGCGGGGCGGTGAAAGTGGGGAGTGCTGTCGCTGTCCTGATGCTGACGCGCTAGCACCGCCAGTGCGGAGGGGGAGGCGGTGCGCGGATTGACTGGAGCACGTGCGGACCCGGAGGCCAGCCCGAGCTATCTTCCCGAGCCCCCTATGTGGGCGTCGAGGACGGTGCAATCGCACGGTTGCTCTATCGTAGGGGAAGGAAGCTCAGAATTTGGCGTTGGCTTATTGGCGCTTGCACTGGATGTCCATTTATTCGGCTTCTGCGCACAACCCCTGCAAGGCTTGCATGACCTTGACCTGTCCCGGGCAACCCCTTCACCAACAGCATCGGGCCGCCCATCTGCATGAGCTCAATCTCGACATCTTAATGAGCATTGCGCGGGCGTCATGCGCACGGCCATAAACCATAGCCGTGCGTAAATTGCGTACAAGCCGTTAATTTTCCGGGAGAGAAAACGACACCTTACCACACCTCCCCTAAGCAGTGCGGCGTCAGTGGCCGGCCGTTTAGCAGTGGTTGCGGCGCTCTCTCGGCCGCGGCGCCGCCGGCCGCTGCTCTGTTGATCAGCCTGCGGTCGGGACGGGAGGCGGAGAGAGGGGCGCCGTCGGCCGGCCTGCCCGGCCGTCCACGCCCCGGTACAGGGCCCGGGCGGGGGGCGGGTGTGTCGCGGCGGCCCTGGCGGCCGACCCAGACCGTCTGATCTACGGTTTGGCCCGTCCCGGCCTGGTGGCAGGGGGGCCGGCGGCGGCCGGGCGCACGCCCTTCGAAACGGCGCCGTGTATTCTCTGGAAAAGGCGCCGAGTATTCTCCCGGACAGGCGCCATGTGTTCTCTGGAATAGGCGCTGAGTATTCTCCGGGACAGGCGCCATGTATTCTCCGGGAAAGGCACCGTGTATTCTCCGGGATAGGCTCTGAGTATTACCCGGGAAGGGCGCAGTGTATTCTCCGGGAAAGATGCCGTGTGTTCTCCGGGATAGGCGCAGTGTATTCTCCGGGATAGGTGCTGAGTATTCTCTGGGGCAGGTGCCGTGTATTCTCTGGGAAAGGCGCTGAGTATTCTCCTGTACAGGCGCCGGCCATGTATTCTCCGGGATAGGCGCAGTGTATTCTCCGGGATAGGCGCTGAGTATTCTCTGGGAAAGGCACCTTGTATTCTTCGGGAAAGGCACCGTGTATTCTCCGGGATAGGCGCTGAGTATTCTCCGGGCAAGCTGTCTGAGGCTGTTAGGGCGACATTAAATGGAAAACTTGTGAAGAGATGTGCAATTTGCATCGCTGTTTCCACTTACACTGGTTTGGCGTATGCAGTTAATCCCATTAGAAGGGACTTTCTTCCAGACGTCCGCTTCGCGACGTAACGGTCAGATAGCATTTTGCCATTTTCACAATTTCTGTCAGACATTTGTGGGTTTGCATTCAGAGTACTTGCAGATTATGGTATATTGATGTACGCTGAACCCACCGTCCTCATCAAAGCTTATCAAAAGTCATGGGATAATTCTACCTCTGACCTTTCGCTAGACAGCCAGACAGGCCTGCGGTGGGTTTTACCCGCCCGACAGCGCTACAACACGGCCGCACCGATCCAGGCGGACGATCTTTGGCCGGTTGCCACCCGACGCTTCAGTGCCAGCCGGACCAGACAATGCGTCCGTTCCGGGACGGCTCGCACCCAGGGCCGGCGCCGGACGCCACGCGTCACGCGTCGTCTCGCCACCTTCTCACCTGCCGCGCGTCCGCCTTCGGCCGCGGCGGCGGCGGGGCGGCCGTGTCTCGGTGCTGCCCGGCGGACCTCGGCGCCTCGCCACCCGCCGCGCCGGCCGTCAGCGACTCGTTGCCTGGGTCGGGCCGGGGCCGCGCGGCACACGGATGAACCCCAGGGACCGCTGCATCGATTGGGCCGCACCTGGCGGCGCGAGCTGGCTCACCCGGTCACGGCGAGACGACCTCGGGCCGGCCGTACCGGGTCAGTGGGTGACACGGCGGGAGACGCGGAGGAGCGGTGGCCTGGGAGCGGCGCGTGACCGGTGCAGGCGGAGGTGACCCCAGATTTGGCCGGTGGATCGGGCTCTCCCCCCCCCCCCCCGAGGTCACTGTCAGGTGTGGTTGGCCTCACCTACCGGAACCATGGAGCCGTCACGGACCTGAGGTCACCAAGGCGAAGGGCTGGCCAGAGCTAATTACGCGGCGAGGTGCGGCTTATCTTGCCACGACCACCGACAGGCGCGACTGACCTGAGGCCGCTGACAGGTGCGGCTGACCTGAGGCCGCTGACAGGCGTGGCTGACCTGAGGCCGCTGACAGGCGTGGCTGACCTGAGGCCGCTGACAGGCGTGGCTGACCTGAAGCCGCTGACAGGCGCGACTGACCTGAGGCCGCTGACAGGCGTGACTGACCTGAGGCTGCTAACAGGCGTGGCTGACCTGAGGCCACTGACAGGTTCGGCTGACCTGAGGCCACTGACAGGCGTGGCTGACCTGAGGCCGCTGACGGGTGTGACTGACCTGAGGCCGCTGACAGGCGCGGCTGACCTGAGGCCGCTGACAGGTGTGACTGACCTGAGGCCGCTGACGGGTGTGACTGACCTGAGGCCGCTGACAGGCGCGACTGACCTGAGGCCGCTGACAGGCGCGGCTGACCTGAGGCCGCCTGACGGGTGTGACTAACCTGAGGCCGCTGACAGGCGTGGCTGACCTGAGGCCGCTGACTGGCGTGGCTGACCTGGCGCCGCTGACTGGCGTGGCTGACCTGGCGCCGCTGAAAGGCGTGGCTGACCGGAGGCCGCTGACAGGCATGGCTGACCGGAGGCCGCTGACAGGCGTGGCTGACCGGAGGCCGCTGACAGGCGTGGCTGACCTGAGGCCGCTGACAGGCGCGACTGACCTGAGGCCGCTGACAGGCGTGGCTGACCTGAGGCCGCTGACAGCGGCCGTCAGCCCGTCGGACGTTCGTGACATCATCATCCCGCCACCTGGCGCCAGGCGTGGCCGGCTGTCAGCGCCTGACGGCCGACCCTGCCCGCCGCCTGCGGCCACTGGTGCGGAGCCGCCGCCGCCGGCGACGGCCCCCGTATCTGGGCCGGGATCGGCTCGGTTGGTAACCGTGACCCACAGCCGACCACCCAGGCCGCCGCCCGCCGGCCACCGACCGCTGGCGGCGGGCCGCAGCCGCGTATTCTGCGTGGATTGGGCGCTGCGCGTGCTGGCGCTGTGGCCAGCCACGAGACTGCGGCTCCAATCTGGATCGGCAGGCTGTGAGGCCAACAGACGGCTGAAATTAGTCCGCACCTGTTCTTCGAGGGAGAGACTAAATGCGCGGAACGTGCAAACGTTTTTGCTGATAGCGGTTCAATGAAAAGTGACGGTAGCTTTGGCAGCTCCGTTTCACCAGTCAAGACAGAAATCATTACCGACGCATTCGGCAGTGACGCAACAGCAGCAAATGGAGCAGCAGCCTGGAGTGAGGCGCCGCAAGCGCGGGCCCCGCTCTAGTCCTCAGGGTGCCCACGGCGACGCGGGTGCCGCGCGCGCCAGGCCTGCCGCAGTGGCGGGGCGTGGTGCGCGTGGAGCGCCGGCCTGGCCTGGTGGTGGGTGGCGGCCACAAAGTTAGAGAGCACCGAGTGGAAGTTTCGACGTACGACGGTGTCCTGGGATGTGACGGCGCGCCGTTGCGCACAGGCGAGCTGCGTTATTGTGGGCAGCTGTGCCGCCGCCAGCTGGCACCAGCAGGAGGCCAGAGCTGCTCCCACCGCCCGTGGGCGCTAGCCTGTGCCAGGGGGAGACGGTGCTACAGGGCAGTGTCGCAGCTCCCCCCCCCCCCCCCCCCGCAATGTCGGCACTCGGCCGCCGGCGGTTTCGCCCGTACCTCTCTGAGGCGGCCGCCTCAGCGGGGTGTGCCCGACCCAGCCGGGTCGGTCGGAGCTCTCAGCGGAGTGTACGCGACCCAGCCGGGTCGGTCGGAGCTCTCAGTGGAGTGTACGCGACCCATCCGGGTCGGTCGGAGCTCTCAGCGGGGTGTGCCCGACCCATCCGGGTCGGTCGGAGCTCTCAGTGGAGTGTACGCGACCCATTCGGGTCGGTCGGAGCTCTCAGCGGAGTGTACGCGACCCAGCCGGGTCGGTCGGAGCTCTCAGCGGAGTGTACGCGACCCATCCGGGTCGGTCGGAGCTCTCAGCGGGGTGTGCCCGACCCATCCGGGTCGGTCGGAGCTCTCAGTGGAGTGTACGCGACCCAGCCGGGTCGGTCGGAGCGTATGCAGTGGGGTGTGCTCAACCCACCCGGGGTCGGTCGGGGCGTATTCAGACGAGCCATTAAGAACTTGCCGGCGCCAGATCCATAACGCCTGGTGCAGATGGCGCCGGTAATTTTCGCGTCGAGGCAGTAAATCCGTCCATTGTAGAGTTTATCGGGCTGAGTTCTGTGAACGAAAACTCGTTGGAGTTTCTCGGAATGCAATGAGAGGCATAGGGTGCTGAGATACATTCGGCCAACAGTGGGTATTGTGGGGGGGGGGGGGGGGAGAACATTGCCGATAGTAATGATGCTGATTTAGTGTTTCCTCTCCCATTCCTTGTTCGTCGCCAACATGCCCGGTAGTATTGTCGAACTTTCGTCGCCGCCGTCGTGTAGTCTTCCTTCATGCCCGCGTCCTTCCCGCCCCATGTTTCTCCTTCGCCGTCGGCTCCCGTGCGCAGCGTAACCAGCCAGCCCCAAGGGCAGCTCCAGCGTGACATCCGGGACTCCGGAAAACAGGTCTTGAAAGGGAGGCCAACTTATCGCCGTCTTGGCCGGTCAGGCCCTCGTTTGCTCATGCTGGGACCCGCCCGTGGCTAGTCCAGCTAATGGCACGGTCACCGAGCGCTGACGCTGCAGCGTCCACCGTCCGTCCGCTGTGTCCCCCCCCCCCCCCCCCTGCTCTTCCGCCTCTTCCACTCTCCCCCGGGCCGTGACGTCCTGGCTGGGTCCAGCCGTCGTGAGTCGGGCTGCGCTGGTCCGTGACTGCCGTTCTACTGACGCTCAGCCCGGGACGTCGATCGACCACCCTGGATACCGGTCCGCTGTAACAAGGACAGGTCCGCCGTACCGAGGACACCGGTCCGCCGCTTTTTGTTTCACCGGTCGGCCGTTCTCGGCCCGCCTCTCCCGAGCAGGCGCGGGCGGCGTGTTTAGCCGGCTGCTGGGCTGGCCCGCTGACTGATGGCCCTCGCCCGGCGCGTCGCGGCCGGCGCCGCTGGCAGACGGCGTCTCAACACGGTCGACCTTCGCGGCGAGGCAGCCCGCCGCCGGCGCCGTCGCCGTGCGCCGGCTCTGTTTGGGTGGTGGCCGTGAAGAGGGCAGGCGGCGCGTCGGCCGCCGCGCCCGCCACTGGGTGGGAACATGGAGGTGGCACGGGCTTGCTAGCTGCCGCGGCGGGAAGCCGACGCTAAGTCTAAGCTATGTCAGTCCTAGTCTAAGTCAGCGGTTGACATCTGAGATGACCAAGCGAACCCGGTGGGATGGGGCGGAGCGCAGGAGCTGTCACCTGCGGCAGCCGGCGTGCGGGGACGGCACTTTGCTGGAACAGGCACGTGCGGGGTGCGAGGCCAGTTGCCACGGCGGAGGTCAGTGGACGGCCGCGACGTCCCCGATTCGGGGCGAACCGACGACCGCCGCCGTCAGACCTCCCGAAGTCGGGGCCGTCGACGGTGTGCGACGGCGACCGGGGTCGCGAGCTGGCCGAGGTGCGGCGGCGCCGACCGGTCTGCGGCCGGCCGCGCCGCCGGCTGGCACCGCCGCCCGGCTATTTCCAGCGCCGCTGACGGTCGCCGGAGGTGCCGTCGGTTCGGTGCTGTCCCGTGCGCGGCGGAGGCCGAGCTTCGGACGCTGCCAGGCGGCTCCGCGGGCGTCCGAGCCCCAGCGAGGTCGTCTTGTTGTCACTCGCAGCGGCTCTCCACCTGCACTGAGCTCCGGCTCGTGTTGTTGTATGTGAATAGAAGCACCGATAAAGGCGTGCCGGATGCCTGCGCCACAGATCAGCGCTCATCTCGTGTTATTCGATGCCAATGAAAGCAGCGCGTAACCATTTGAGCTATGCGTGACTGACTCCCAAAGAACGCCGTCGGTGCGCTTGGAAGTTGATATTATGCTGCGGCTGCCGTGCGGAAGCTCGACGTGTCAGTGGGAGGCCCTGGGGAGGCCCCGCGGGGATCGCGCAACATATCTTGGCAGCGGTGGGGACATTGAACGGGCCTTCGGCGACCAACACTGGCGCCGGGGATCGGTGACCAGCCCATGACTGCGGATGTGGTGACCTCTGCTGGTTGCCAGGGGCCGCGGGTGGAGCCGGGCTGTGCGCCAGCCGGGCGACGCCCGCGCCGTGTTCCGAGGCTCGGCCTGGCGCCTCCCATCCCACGACCGACGACCGCAGCGGAGCGGGTCGGAGCGGTCCATTGTCCGCGGCCGGTGCATCAGATCCGGCCGCGGGGCCGGAGGAACCGCCACCGCCGCCGCCGCCGCCGCCTTCGGCTGATGTTGGCAGCGGCTGGTCCGGTAGGGACGGCCGGCGCCGGCGCTGAGTGACGGCACGGCTGACTCGGACCGGTGCCGCCGCCGCCGCCGCCGCCCTGGCGCTCGAGCGCCGCCGGGACGGACCGGGGTGGGGCCGACCCCAGGTCGCGGCCTGGCGGGGGACCGGGGCCGAGCGGCGGCCCGCAGACGGCCCCGGCACCGGCCGCGAGACTATCTTTGCCAGTTGTTTGTGAGCAGTTGGACGAGACGAATGGCAGCAGTGGCGTTATTGCTCGCAGTGACGTTGATTAAATAATATGGAAACGGCTGTTCCTAGCAGGTAATGAGGTGTGTGGGACTTGTAGCGTCTAAGCGTCAGGCTAACGTGCGGGGAGGCAATGGTCGCTGTGCGGACGTGTGCGTGTTGGAGAGGCACGATTACTATCCGCCCCGGCGAGGAGACGTCCGCTGGTGCTAGATGTTGACGCTGGGCCTCCTGCTACCGCAACCGTCGCCCACTACGGTTTTTGGCACGCAACTGCTCTGTTTTTACAGATGCTGAGTATATCCGCCTTCCTGTGTAATATCTTGTGTGATATTCGTTATGACGTGATCCTAGACGCTACGCTGTCCGTTGCTCGCTGACCGCCGACGCTGCCCGCCCGCGTGTATTGCCGCCGCCGACCCGTGATCCGTCCGTCTCCGCTCAGCGCTCGCTGTCTGGCGTCCGTGCCAGACTGTCTGAACACCGCCATCGGCCGTCTTGATGCCCGCTCCCTTGCCCCGTCCTGACTGCCGCTCTCCTGCCCCGTCCTGACGTCCGCTCGCCTTCCCCTCCCTGACGGCCGACTCCTGCTCCGTCCTGATGTCCTCTCCCCTGCCTCGTCCTGACGTCCGTTTACCTGTCCGGCGCCGACGCCCCCACTCCGCTGCCTTGTGCTGACGCCCCCGCTCGCCTGCCGCATGTTGACGCCCGCCTCGCCCCGGCAGGCAAGGACCACGTGTGTCGCTTCATCGGCTGCGGCCGCAACGACCGCTTCAACTACGTGGTGATGCAGCTGCAGGGGCGCAACCTGGCCGAGCTGCGGCGGGCGCAGCCGCGCGGCGCGTTCTCGCTCTCCACTACCCTGCGGCTGGGCCACCAGATCCTGCACTCCATCCAGGCTATCCACGAGGCGGGCTTCCTGCACCGCGACGTTAAGCCGGTGAGGCGGACCGGCCGTGGCGGGCCGGGCTGGTTGGGGTTGGGCTTTGGCCAAGAAGCTGGGCGGTGTGAGCTGGGGAAAACTGAGCTTCAGTGTTCTAATTTTCGGCGCATGGTGAACCGGTAGAAACAGTGCTTTGTTTGGTGTAGGGATTGTCTCTGCGTGACATGAAGCTACTGCTACTGGCGTGGGTGTGGGGATGACGCCCTGGAGTATGCTTGAAAGCAAGTGGTACTCCAGGGTACATGGTTCTCGTTACAAGGTGGCCATGTCAAACGCCACAGACGCTGCAAAGCCATCACGTCAGACATGGGCAGACATCATGTTGACTTCATGTCCGCGCGACACGTCGACGGCTCTCGCCGCGCGCGGTCCCTGCTTCATCGCCCGCCGTCGCCGAGTCTCGCGCCACCCCGTGCGCGTCTGCCACGCCGTGTTGGCCGCGCCCTGCCCCCGGCAGCAGCGGCACTGACGGCCACCGCCCCTCCCGTTCCAGTCCAACTTCTCGACGGGCCGACACCCGCACAACTGCAAGAAGGTCTACATGCTGGACTTCGGGCTGGCGCGCCAGTACACGAACGCGTACGGCGAGGTGCGCACGCCGCGCGCCGCCGCCGGCTTCCGCGGCACGGTCCGGTACGCGGCCATCAACGCGCATAAGAACAAGGTACGCCCGGCGTCGGCGGGCGCGGCCGGAGAGTGGCGAGGACCGGCCGGAGTGTGGCGAGGACGCCGCTCGGCCGCGGGCCTGGGTGTCGTGGGGACTGACGCATGTGAACCGAGTGACAGTGAGGTGTCGTGTCAAGCTATTTTGTTAGAAGTGAGTGATTGGTGCGGTTGTTTTGCGGGTGGTTTAGGCTTTCGGTGCCTTCATGCTCTGGATCTTGTGGTGTGCTCCCTGAGCCCACTGTCCAAGAAATGCGTTCAGCTGATCATTTTGCCCCCGGTCTTCTGGCTAAACAGACATTGGAAGGCTCGGCTCTCGTGCCGTGTAAGGCTGCCACGCGGCCTTCGCCTACCCGGCTACATCAGGATTTTAGTCTGATCAGCAAAAATAACGAGCGAGAATAGCAACCGTGTTGGTTAGAGGTGACAAGGTCCTTTGTCTCTGCCGCTGCCCATGTGCAGACTGTTCGCCTGAAATAGTCTCCCTCTCCGGAGGGACCGGAGCGCTGTTTCGCGTCGTCACTGACTGATGGGTGCAGCGAAGCGGTTCGCCTTCCTCTTGGCCCGCGCCACTCTCCTGTATTTGCTTTATTTCTTTATGGCAAAGTGGGCCGAGTGAAGGTTGCATGCATCTAACGCGACTGCGTCTCGGTTTCCTCTCCCGGCCAGATTTCGTTGACCCCGGTAACGGCGTTTGGCGAGTGGGCCCTGTTGACTTCTGCCGCGGGCTGCCTCTGCCGTATGCAAAACATCATAAGGCTAATGCGGCTCACGCTCCAACTCGGAGCTGCTGCGCCGCCGCCAAAGGTCCCAAAGCCGTCTCAGCCAAGATGAATGGTCCTGCTCGTGGTCTGCCGAATCACTGGCAGTCAAACCAGGCGGAGAACAGTCGTACGGCGCACGTCTCGACGGCTGGAGGATCTCTGCGGCTTTGCGTGCTGCGCCGTTGGCCGACCGGGCGACGGCGGAGACGGACGGTGCCGTTTGGCCGGCCGCCGCCAGCGCTGGACGGCCGCCGTTTGGCCGCGGCGGCCGGCTGGCGGGGCCGCGCGGACCGCGGCGCGGCCGCCTGTTTTGACTGTACCTGTTTGCGCCGTTTTTCCCCCCGTTGAGGCCCATTCATCAGCGTGGTCCCGACGCGGGGATGCTCTATCAGTCGGTGTGTTTACCCGAATTCGCCGAACTCGTTCCGACAGTGCCGCCGTGTTGGCTGCGGCGGGCGGCGGCCGCCAGACGGCCCGGCCGGCGCCGCCTGGCTCCGCTCGGCTGGCGGCGTCAGATGCGCGTGCCAAGTGGGCTCCCACTGATCTCGTAGATTAGTTTGTATACGTGTCCCTGAGGATTATTTACCCTCGCTTGCGTGGAATCGTTCAAGCTGCTCGCTACTCCGCACAAGCCGGAACCGAGCTCTCGCTAGGGGACTTTATGGGCTAGGTGATACCTGTGCCATCCACACAGAGTAGGTGACGGGTGGGCTTGGGTGCAGACTTTGGGAAGTTACGGGTGTGGGTACGGTTACGGCTGAGATGTTTGCGAAATACCGGGTAGATCGGTTAAGATATATTGAGCAATGTTACTGCTTGTGTTTCTCCTGGTCTGATCAGCTTCATTCACGCCAATTTTGTTATTATCAGTTCAGAAAATGAGGTTGAAGCTTTGCCCTGATGCCCTGAAACTTTTCAATAATTTAGAACTTAAATGCTGGGAAGCGGCAAATGGGTGGGTGAGCGGTGATTGCAACTGATCAGGAATGGGTAGAGGATGGTTATGACCACGGCGCCATGAGGTAGCGCAGGGATTGTGTAGAGCAATTCTCACATATGAATGCCTCTGGCCCTCACAGCTCAACGCTCGTTTTGCAGTCGTATCGTCCTGCACTGCCCGGATCCCCTGCTAGTGGAGCGTCGCTCATATCCTGGCATGATGCCTTTCCCGCCTATTCTGCCTTGGCGCTCCGTCAGTGTGCACACTCCCAGTGTGTTTCGGAGCCGCTCAGCACCGCCGAACGCTCCGTCCGTTGGTGAGCGCCCGGAGCATGGGCTCGTGTGCTGACACGTCACCCCCGCCTGGTCGGCGACCGATGGGGCGCCTCTGACGGCCGCCTCGCCCCGCAGGAGATGGGACGCCAGGACGACCTGTGGTCGCTCTTCTACATGATGGTTGAGTTCGTCAACGGCTCGCTGCCCTGGCGCAAGATCAAGGACAAGGAGCAGGTGCGCTACAGGCCGAGGCCGGCCGGCGACAGCAGGGACGGGCCCCGCCGTCGCCGCCCCTCGCTCCCAGCCGCGTCGCTGGCAGCGGCTGACGGCGCTGAAAGGCGCTGAAAGGCTGCGCCACGCCTGCCGCGCCGCTTGACGGCTGGCTGGTCCCGGCGCCATGGTAGGAGTGCCGCGGCCGGGCGGCGGGCTGGGGAGGGCGCCGGCGTGAGTCGCCGTGTGGTGGACCGCGCCGACAGGCGAGCAAGGGGGAGGGAGCGTTGTCGGCGCCAGTGGCGTCCTCCGCCTGTCGAGTTGGACTCCACCTCTGCCTCCGCTGTGAGACCTCGGCGGCAGACGCCTCGCCGCCGCGCGTGACGTCACGTCTGACGTCACGCGACGTCACCGGCAGCGGCGGCCCGGCCGTCTGCCAGCGGCCGATTTAGCGCGCGCGGTGTGCGCTCGCGTGCGGGAGGGCTGAGTTGTGGGCGCCCGGCGTCGGCCGAGCGGGCCGTTTGGCGTCGGGCCTGCCGCCTTGCTTCTGGGTAACGCACAGTTGGTGTGGCTGTTGGCCGAGATGGCGCAGTGTCGTCACCCCGGCTCTGCCCTGGCCGCCGCCGCGCTGACGCCGCTCCGGCCGCAGGTGGGCATCATGAAGGAGGAGTACAACCACTACCAGCTGCTGAAGCACCTGCCGTCCGACTTCCGCCAGTTCCTGGAGCACATTCAGTCGCTCGACTACTATGACAAGCCCGACTACGCTATGCTGTCGGGCCTGTTTGAGCGCTGTATGAAGCGGCGGGGGGTCAAGGTCAGTTGGTCGGTCACTTCGCCACGCCACAGCTTTTTGTTGGGTTTTGCTATGATAGTACATCAATGAGAGGTTTTGCTGCACTTTTTGATGGTTAAAGAGCGTTGTTGATAAGCATACCGCTATGAAGAGGATTTACTTACTCATCATTTGCTTTTTCGCCTTAATTGTGGTCCGTTTTGGAGCGCATGCACACGATCCTCTTGCCGTGCTGTCGTGTCCGACGGTGGCGCGCCGTGCCCGCAGGAGAGCGACGCGTTCGACTGGGAGAAGGCGGCGGCGGAGACCGCACCGGCCGGCGGCCCGGCCTCGACGCCGGCTATCATCAGCAAGCCGGCGGCCTCGTACCAGACGGACCTGGGCAGCGCCGCTTGCGACAACCAGGAGAACTACCGGCCGCCGACAGCCACCTCGGCACAGCAGCCGCGGCTCGCTACTGACACACGGGAGAAGGTGACGCCGACACTGACACCGACACCGACACCGACACCGACACCGACACTGATACCGGCACCGACACTGGCACTAACACCGGCACTGACACCGATTCCAGCCGGCGGTCGCTGCCTGTTGCTGACACCTGGAAGAAGTGTCGCGCTAACGCCAAAACCGACACAGGCACACGCGAGAAAGTTCAGCGACTGAGGTATATACCGACACGCTGGGGAAGACGTGCCGACACCGCTCTCGGCCCTCATCCGCAGTTGGTCACCAACTACTGAGGAGGACACGTTGACACTGACGGGCACGAACACAGCGTCTTAGACTACTCAGGAAGTGACCGGCCAACTCCAGATCACTACCTCGTCGATCTTCGCACTTGAAGCGAACTTGACGCCCTGAGGCCTGCCCCGCGCCGCGTTGGGTGACCCGCCGCACACCCGCTCTCGCCACGCGGCTCGCCGCCGCGCGCAGCACACGACTCGTCTCATGCCGGCGGCTTGACCCCGCTCCACCGGCAGGTGCTGGTGGACAACAACCGCAACGCCACCAAGGTGGGCGCCGGCGACGACCCGTCGCCGAAGAAGGCGCGTCCGGACCAGGAGGGCAACCCGCCGCGGCGGCCGGTGGCTAAGCTGCGGCTGAGCGCTCTGGAGGCGGCCGACGGCACGCAGGAGGTGCAGCCGGCGTCGCCGCGGGTCGCCGACGGACAGGTCAGCCGGCCGCGGCGGGTGGAGGGCCGTGCAGGGACGGTTCACGGACGGAAGGATTACCGAAGGGCGGGTCAGACGGCCCGGCGGGTGGAGGCTCGTGCAGGGACGGGTCACCGACGGAGGGGTCACCGACGGACGGGTCAGACGGCCGCGGCGGCTGGAGGGTCGTGCAGGGACGAGCCACCGACGGAAGGGTTACCGACGGACGGGTCAGACGGCCGCGGCGGGTGGAGGCTCGGGAGGGGACGGGTCACCGACGGACGGGTCAGACGGCCGCGGCGGGTGGAGGCTCGGAAGGGGACGGGTCACCGACGGACGGGTCAGACGGCCGCGGCGGGTGGAGGGTCGTGCAGGGACGGGTCACCGACGGACGGGTCAGCCGGCCGCGGCGGGTGGAGGCTCGGGAGGGGACGGGTCACCGACGGACGGGTCAGACGGCCGCGGCGGGTGGAGGGTCGTGCAGGGACGGGTCACCGACGGACGGGTCAGCCGGCCGCGGCGGCTGGAGGGTCGTGCAGGGACGGTTCACCGACGGAAGGATTACCGACGGACGGGTCAGACGGCCGCGGCGGGTGAAGGCTCGGGAGGGGACGGGTCACCGACGGACGGGTCAGACGGCCGCGGCGGGTGGAGGCTCGGGAGGGGACGGGTCACCGACGGACGGGTCAGACGGCCGCGGCGGGTGGAGGCTCGTGAAGGGACGGGTCACGGCCAACGGACGGACAGGTGGATGTTCGTGCCGCGGCTGCGTCTAAGGCGTACTTTTGTTTGTCGTCGTACATCCGGTCTGTTCAGGAGGGGATTGATGTGGTGCTCTTTTAATGTTTGTTGGCCGTGCGTATGTCGGTCGTGGCGATCAAAGGGATTACAAGGGTAGAAGGGTCATGACGGAACGGAGTGGAAGGTGCAACGTACGTAAACGTCGCTGGATAGGAGTCACAAACAGATAAGTCAGAGGAGCCCATGACTGTGTAAGAAACATTGACAACCAGTACAGGTCACATCTCAGCGAACGTCGTCAGTCGCTCCTCAGCATACTGGCCCGTACACGACTGCCTCGCCATCCAGACGCCCTTCCCCCGCCGTCCCCCCCCCCCCCCTCATGTGCCAACGAGGTATCCCTCGGCCTGGCCCTGCTGACCGTGTCGGCGTCGTCAGGAGGTGAGCGGCCGCAGCACGGAGGCGCGCACCGGCCGCCTGGACGTGTCGGTGCCGTCGACGCCGCAGCAGAGCGGCCCGGCCGGCTCCGAGGCGCCGCTCACTGGCACCGAGCGCGAGACGGGCCGCCGGGAGCGGCGCGACCACCGGCGCCGCTTCCACTCGGCCGGCAGCCGGAACCGGTCAGTCTCACGGTCGGTACAACTCGCGCGCTCGCGCTCGTTGGCTTGCGTTTGCCGTGCGCTGGGTCCGTCGGTGCCGCGTGCCCGACTGCCGGCCCGCCTGCTCGCCTGTCTGTCTGTGTCTACCTGCCTGCTCGCCTCTGTCTGTATGTCTGTGGCCCGCGCGTCTGTCTGGCCGACTGTCTGCTCCCCGTCCGGCGGTGTGTTGAGGACTCCGCGAGCTGGCGCGCCTGGCCGCAGCGCTGCACTCGTTCGATCAGTGACGCCTCGGGCGCGGCCCGCCGCCGGCGCCGGCGTGGGAGCGGCGCAGGTGGCGCGCGGTGCATGCCGTCAGCCCCGGTCACCTCGCGCGCTGTGCTGGCCGCGTCTCGGTGGCCCGCTGGGTGGATCCCGGTAGACGGCGCGCGTTCTCTGATGGATCTCCGCAGCGGGCTCGGTCGTCCTGCGGTTTTGTAGCCGGCAGGTTTTACACACAAAATCACGCCTTCTGGTTTGGTGCGACGTATATTGGCTTGTAGAGGCTTGTGCGGCGTAACTTCGCTTGTCTTTTGCTGTTCTGAGCTCGGTCACCGCTGCGTTGACCAGCGGAGGCGCGTATCCCTCTGCTTGTGTTTGAGTGATCTGACGTGAACTTTTTGTAGCATAGATAGCATCCTGAGTTTGCGGACGACAGGCAGTCTAAGGAACGCCAGTACCTTGCCCGGTCGCTGTTGTACGTGGAACGGCGTAAGCTGCGGCCAAAACGACCGATCAGCAACAGTGCCTGCGCTGTAACGCTGTACATGAGCGCTGTAGATAACTCTGCATGTTCTGATTGGTGTGTTTGATGAGCACGTTTACTGAATATCGTGCTCTCCAAACTTCCAGTTACGTGCTTTAGTTATGGACGGACAGGGCACTGTTGTATTAGACCGGATGTCTGGCTGGGGTGAATTCGGCGAGTTCCTCATAATGGCGGCCGAAGGCGTTACCTTAGTGTGTGGCATGATGTACGGGAATGGCCTTTGCCGTTGGAGAATACCAAGTAAAACGCTCATTTTGGTTAGCGTTATAACACATTTGATGTAGGGTATGGATCCTTTGAATATTGTTGTGTTGCGATGCCGTCCCACTGTATCTATAGCGCCTATATTGCGTGTGACTGGCCGGTGACGGCGTCGCCAGGTTTCAGAGCAGCCTAGTGTCCCGTCAGTGCCCCCGCCTGTCCCGTCCCTGCGCTGCCCAGTGTCTCGCCAGCGTCCCCCGTCCGCGCCGTCCCTGCGCTGCCCAGTGTCTCGTCAGCGTCCCCCGTCCGCGCCGTCCCTGCGCTGCCCAGTGTCCCGTCAGCGTCCCCCCACCTCGCCCCGTCTCTTGCGCTGTGCAGTGTCCCGTCAGCCCCCTCCCCTCCCCTCCCCCGTCCGCCCGCCCCGCCCGCCCGCCCGCCCCGTCCCTGCACTGCCCAGTGTCTCGTTAGCGTCCCCCCGCCTCGCCCCGTCTCCCGCGCTGTCCGGCGCCGCCTGAGTGCCGTCTGTGCCGTCGCCGACAGGCTCAGCCTGCACCGGGACGTGAGCGTGACGCAGTTCGCCGTGGCCGACGACGACAACGTGTCCCAGCAGGCCACCAAGGGCGGCGGAGGTCAGTCGAGCGGGGGCAACGGCTGGGCTCGCGGTAGCAGGCGGAACGGGCGACGCCTGCCATGGCACGCCGGCCGGTGGGGTTGTAGTGCGAATTTGTGATAAGACTTGATATCACAAAGAATTGCTCAACTGCCGGTTTACGGCGTTTTGAGTTGAAAGTTTTATGTTGAGTTAGTGACCTGCAATATGCTCGGAGATGCTGGTCATAGTATGTTGTATTGCGAAATAACGATTGCGTTGCCGGTACTGGGGCCGGGTTCCGCTGACCCCGGCCCTCCTCTGTGTCGCAGGCATGACGCTGGCCTCCCAGTGGAAGTCGGGCTTCGATGACTCGGAGGCCGAGACGGACCACGAGGCCGCCGAGCAGGGACTGCAGAGTCCCGAGCACAGGAAACAGGTCCGCACGCGCTCCCCGCCGCCCTTCCCCGCAGATGGCGAGGGCCGTTAGCCTCTGCACCGATGGCGCGTCGGCGGAGACTGGGCTCTTGGTGGGGTGCTCGCCTCCACGTTAACGGTTCATGGGTAATGTGTATCGCAATGTTCGATATTATTTTATTGGAAGCCGTGTGCGCTGGAACTCCGCAGCAAACTAGGCAGGGACTGATGGAATGCAGCATAACGTTGCATGGACGAAATGACGCGCCTGTTCCACTCGGGGGTGTGACGTTACCCGCGTGGGCCAGGGGCGACGCCAGCCTACGTATGATCTGGCCCGCGTGACCCCGTGACCTGGCCTGACCGGAGCGCGACCTGTGCTCGGCAGGCTGCAGAGGCGGCGTCAGGTGCCGGCCGGGCGGCGCGCTCGGCTGCCGGCGGCCCGCCACCGCCGCCCAACACGTTCTTCGTTCCGCTGCTGCTCATCAAGTCGCGGCTCCGTTGCCAGGTAGTGTGAGGGGCCGGCCGGCGCCCCGCCTGGGCGACGTCGGCCGGGCAGCTGGTGCCCCGCTCTGTTGTCCATACTGTCTCAGAAAGGTGCTTGTGAGAGAAGCCGCTTCGGTTTCGGTGCAGAGTCCAAGTGATCTGCTCTTTGAAAGTTTGGGTCGCGCCGTCCGTTTCCTTGTCAGTGTCATGCTTTGAAGCGCGTTGTTTACAATGTTTTGCTTATTTGGCCAGATGAGTGGTCTGGATGGGCTTGAGTCTATTCGTGTATGTGCCATGGCCAAGAACGAGTGACTCGGAAGTATAATTTATCGGTAGCTGGGCTGTCCGGTACTGCTAAAAGCGGACAGCGGGCGCTGAATGCTTATACTGATGTCGAGTGAACGGCGCAGCTCACCAGCGCCGTGCGAGGACTAGCAGCGAGAGTCCAGCGCGCGCTCCAGCTCAGCGTGAGGTCTGTGCGCACCGTGCGTGACGCTGGCGCCGCTCCGCCCCAGGTGGGCGCCGCGCAGGCGTTGCCGCTCGAGTACCTCAACCTGGAGATCGCCGCCGTGCCCGTGGACAGGAGCCGCGGCGAGGGCCTGCCGCGGTCATGGTCCAACCCCCAGCTGTCGCCACACATACGGTCAGTGGCGGCGGCCGGGTCGGGACCGCGGCGGCGGCGCAGGGCCGTCCACGACGAGCGCCTGTCAGACGTTGGGAGGGCGGCGGCGGCGGCGCATGCCGGCTCGGCACGGGGCTGGTCGTGGCGGTTTGGGGTCGTGTGTCGCGTTCAGCTCCTAAGATTAAGACGCGCTTATGAGCTTCTGCCGCCGGCCAGTCGGTGGCGCTGGCTGTCGGCTTTGCGCCTGTCGATGTGCGGGCCGCCTCTCCCGGAGTCCCCTCGGTCCGCCGGTGATGTCACGTGCCGTGACGTCACCTGGAAGCGGCGCCGGCCTCGCCGAGGGCCGGCCTGGACACGCCCATGACCCGGCTGCCGCGGTCCGTGACGCCGGCCGCCTCCCGCAGGGCCGGCCTGGAGCCGCCGCTGCTGCAGCAGGCCACCTTCGATGACGTCGTTTACGAGGTGGACGTGGTGCGGAACGTGGCGGCGGTGGTAACCGCCGGCCGCGGGTCGCGCCGACTCCGGCGCCGGCGCCGCTGCCGCCGGCGCCGGGCTCGCACCGCGCCCCGGCGCCGCCCAAGACTCCACCGCCGGTCAACAGGTGGGGCTCCGGGGCGGTCGCGGGGGTCGTCGTCCGTCCCTGACTGACCGACGGCGACGGAGAGTCGCTGGCGATGGTGGGAGGGAGTCGTTTGGCGAAGTAGTGTGTGCCTGGCAGACTAGGTGTCACCCAAATACTTCCATCTTTCGAGGATGGCTGTTGATGGCTTGCTGTCGCTGCGTGGGCTCGGGTAGAATCATCGCCACTCGCTCTTGTATTGTCACGTTTGGCCAGCAGCGGACGTCACCGCTACGCACGCACGTCCGCTGACTCGGCCGCCGTCGCCGCCGCCGCCAGGACCGTGTCCATGGAGTCGGACGTCAGTCCGCAGCACATGCTGCCCGTCTCGGGCAAGCTGGAGATCCGCGTGTTCGACAAGTCCGAGTCGCGGCGCTCGGATTCGGCGCCGCCGCCGCCGCCGGCCGTGCCCGCCATCGCGGTGGTGACGCCCGCCGCCGCCGCCGCCGCCCCCGCCGCGGTCGCCGCCGCCGCCGCCGGCGCCCAAAGCAATCAGGTGAGTCGGCCGCCGTCAGCGGTTTTGTAGCCGCCGGCTGGACTTTCGTAATTGGTTTAGCCGTGTCTGACGGTAATCTAATGGAGTGCTCGGAGTTTGCGAGGCAGTCTGGCGGAGAAATTCTGCGAACTCGTTGGTCCTTTGGAGGTGGCTTATGGGCTCGGCTAATCGCCTCTCAGCTGTCAAGTCAGCGGCCACCGTTGCGTGTAGCGCGCTGCAGAGTTTGAGGTTGTCGGGTGTTGAGGCCGTGCGGCGTCTAACGGGCGGCTTTGGTCGTCCCCAGACGAACAGCGTCGCCCGTCTGGAGGAGGTGCGCGCGCCGGCGCGCTCCTCCTCGCCGCGCCTGAAGAGCATCCTGAAGAACAAGTCTGAGCGTAACCTGGCCGGCAAACTGGAGCAGGCGGAGCGGGCCGCCTCGGACGGCAATGCAATCCCCAAGAATAAGAGCTCGCCTTGCCTGGCGGAGCAGCTGGGCCGCTACTTCGAGACGCCGGCGGCACCGCCGGCCGACGTGCCGCACATCCAGGTAACGCCGCACAACGAGCCGCCGCCGCCGCCGCCGCCGCGCGCCGCCCAGCGCGCGGTGCGCTCGCCGCCCCCGGCCGCGCGCCGCGCCGCGCCCAGCACAGACACGTCATCCAGCCGCAGCCGCGACTCGCCGGCCAAGGGCGGCGAGTCGGCCGAGCCGCCGGCGCCGGCCGAGCCGCGCGCGCCGCCGCCGCGGCCAGCCGACGAGTCGAGCGCCTTCTACGACGCGGCCGACGAGAGCCGCGCGCGCCTGGCCACCTCGCGCAGCCGCTCGCGCATCGACGAAAACGAGACGTCGCGCAACGAGAGTTTCGGCACGGCGGTGCCGCCCGGCGCGTCCGAGGCCGGCGACGAGCGCGACTACGAGACAGTCGGTTTCTCGTTCGCCACGGCGCGCGAGAGTCCGCGCACGGTGCGCCGCCGCATCGGCGTCGTCACGCCGCCGCCCGAGTTCCAGAACGACCCACATGACTCGCAGTCGACCACCGGCGAGGGCACAGCGCGCGCCGAGTCGCCGGGCCGCGGCCGGCGGCGCAGCGGCGGCGGCGCCGCCGAGCCGCCGCCACCGCCGCTCAGCGGCGCCGCCAAGCGCCACTCGCTGGATAACCTGCTGGACGACCGCAAGATCTCGGTGATCAGCGTGCAGGAGCTGGGCGCCGTGCTGCGCGGCCAGCGCGCGCCGGCCGCGCGCGCCTTCCACAGCGACGACAGCCTGGTGGACGGCGGCGAGCCGGAGCGGCGCCGGCGCGCCCAGCTCAGCGCCGACGTGGACGCCGAGAGCGAGGCGTCAGAGCCGCCGCTCATCACCAGGAGGTGAGCACGGCGGCAGGCGGGCGCCGGCTGGGACGGGGCGAGGTGGGGCCCGCGGGTGTCGCTTGAGAGACGAGTGCGTGGGTGAGCGGTGGCGCGTTGCCGATTGAGCAGACCTACTCAGCAGCCGCGGATGCTGTGGTCACTCTGCGGAAGTGCTCTTGCACTTTCGTTCGTGATTTTTGAGCTGTGTAGTGCGGGACAGGTGTCAGTAACTATGGTTTTGTATGTTTGTTTGCGTCGGAGACGCCTTCCGCATGCACATTTCTCTTACGTTTCGATGCCTTGACACACAGCCACAGCCTTACAGCGGCTCTTCCCTCTTCGGTTAACACGCCCTCAAACAGGCGATATGTGGCAGCAGAGATCCGAACAGGCACCGGACGTGTCTTCGCCTGGGCCCCGCACCGCTGCGCCTGGCCCGTGCCTGCTGGAGATGTCCCTGACCCCGCCCCATCCCCGTCCTCAGGCGTCACTCGGCGCGCGAGCTGCACTCGACCACGCCCACCACGACGAGCACGGCGTCGTCGGCGGCCGAGCCGGCGCCGCGCCCGGCGGCCGGGCGGCGCGGCCGCCTCAGCTCGTCGCCGGAGCCGCTGTCGGCGCCGCGCCGGCCGCAGCCGCAGCCGCAGCCGCCCTCGCTCTACGTGCAGCAGGTGCTGGGCGGCTACAGTCCGCGCCGCGAGCTGCACGCGCCGGCCGGCGCCCAGCGCTCCTCCTACAGCCCGGCGCCGAGCGGCGGTGAGTGGCGCTGGCGGGGCAAGGGGAGGGGGCGCGTGTTGGATGTCGCCCGCAGCCGGCGTCGCTTCTCGTCCCCGCGCACGTCGTGGTGTTCCTCTATCCGTCACATATATACTTCATCGGCAAGCGGGTTTGTTGCGGAATGGCGAAGGCGGCGTCTGAGGTGGGCTGCCTCGGAGGCGGCTGAGCGCTGCTGACGGGACGCAAGGTAAGTCTGTGTAATGACCCGGTCATCGGCACCGGTCACAGCTCCGACCCTTGTACGATGTGCCGACCCAAGCGGCCTGTGGCGCCAGACTGCCGCGCCAGGTCCTGCTCGCTCCGTCGCCCTGGGAGTCGAGCCGCCGCCTGTCCCGTGCTGGGCGTGCGCCTGTGCGCGGAGCTCGTGTGACTTGCCCGCCGGCTGCCGGCAGCCTATTACGACTCGCCCCGGTACGACTCGCACCTGGGCGTCTCCAACTGGGGACTGCAGAAGTCCAGCTCGTCCTCGGCCTGCCACCAGGGTTACCACACCATGCCGTCACGCATCAGGCCACCGGTCACAGGTCAGGGTCGTCACGGCACGCCGTGTGTCCGAGTGCTGGTGACAGGTCGCGGCAGCTGAGTGGTGTGACGGAACTGGGTGTCGATGACTGCGGTTTGGCTGGAGATGCCCTGGTTTGATTCCTCGCAGGAGACGTTCGCTGGCTTGGGATTCGACCAGCGTTGACAGCGCCAGTAACTTCAGTGGCGTCGTGCGTGTTAAGTATGTAACAGCGGCTGTCATGATTACCATGCAGGCGTATGTGTTTCCGAGTGCCCCCTGTGGCCTCACGAACGTCCCATGCACCTCCGACGCCGGCAGAGACGGCGTCTCGGTGCAGTGCTGCTCGTTCGGGGCATGCTCACTACTTGCCGGTGGCCGCCCAGACTCGCTCCAGGACCATTGCCGATAACTCTCATTATAATCTTGTGGCGCGAGTGCCCGTGTGCACTGGTGCCGGCTCCAGCACGTCCCGTAACCATACAGCTTTCGTGCACACATCCCCGTACCATGAACCCACGTCACCTTCCGATGCTCGGGTGCACCCGCACCAGTTCCAGTACCAGTCTCGTGTAGCCCCCCCCCCTCCCCTCTCGCACCGACCCCGACACGGGTCCCCCCTCGTGACCGGCCGTCGCTCGTGCAGACTCGTACCGGTACCGGTACCAGTCTCTCGTGTAAACCCCCTCGCACCGACCCCGACACGGAACCCTCTCCTGACCGCCCGTCGCTCGTGCAGACTCGTACCGGTACCAGTCGCCGAGTCGGGACGACACGAGCCTAGACGGCTGCACGCCGGCGTTGCGCCGCCGCCGCCAGGGCGCCGACAAGTACGTGGCCGACGACGCCCAGCTGGGCTCGCGCTTCCAGCGGCGCCGCAACCGGCCGCGCGACGCCGTCTCCGTCCAGCCGGCCGTGCCGCCGCGCACCCGCCAGAGGTGAGACCCAACGCTTGGGCAGCGGCGGCGGCGGGAGCGGGGGGGGGGACCTGGACGGGGGTAAGACCCGGCCCGTGGGAACGGCGGCGGCGGGAGCGGGGAGAACCCGGACGGGGGTGAGACCCAACGCTTGGGGAGCGGCGGCGGCGGGAGCGGGAAGGACCCGGACGAACCCAAAGAGACCCAACGCTTGGGGAGCGGCGGCGGCGGGAGCGAGGAGGACCTGGACAGGGGTGAGACCCGGCCCGTGGGAGCGGCGGCGGTGGGGGCGGGAAGGGTCCGGAGGGGGTGAGGCTCGATCGAAGGAAGACCCGAGGATTTAGGGAGATCACCGAGGTAAGGTGCTGTTTCATGGAGGCGGAGGCCATGACTAGGACTGCAGGAGTAGGGAAGGCTTTGTGAACGCAATGAGGGACAGGATATTTGGGAAGGGAAAGACGATCAAGCGAGCGTTCGGTTAGGGCGGCAGTGTAGGGATCTTTAGACGGATAAGGCAGGAATCGGACCTGGTTTAATGAAGATTAGAGGGACCACGACCGGCCGACTACAGTATTAATTCAATGCGACATGTGTCCTAATGTCCAAACGGGCAAGAAAACCGAGAGCGCCCCAGTCCTGTGTTTATTGTTCTTATCGACGATTTGGTAGAGCAGAGGTTAGGTTGGTGCTGTGAAGCACGCCGGAAAGCTTGCTGTAAGCGGTGTTGGGAAGGATGCAACTCAAAATAGTCGTGTAGGCGCGGGATACCGGGCTAAATTCTGCTCGGATGACCGGGGGGAGGGGGGCTGGCAAAGATGGCGTCGGCAGGCATGGCAGCTGCCGTTCACCTTCGGCCTGCCTACCGGGGCTTCGAGCGGCCCGGTAAGTTGTGTTTGGCAGCGTGTCGTGTTGACTTAACAAACTAACTCTAACCGTTTTGCGCAACGGCCCTCGGCCTGTTTTCTCCCGCGAGGTGGTCGCGCTCCCTCCATCTGAGTCCCGCACTGGCCGAGCATATGTGCGCCCTTTCACCCTGTAATCCGTCGCCGCCTATAGCCCGCCTCTCACAACTGCGCCTGACATCCTGACGCACGTGTCGTTGTCACGCGTGTCAGCCGGCGTGACCCTGTCACCCACATCATCCCGGCCTGCGTCTGTCACGCGTTTTATTCTGTTGCGTGCTTGTCATCTTTCCAGCGGTGACAGTTTGTCGTACGTTCCCCCCTCCCAAGCGTGTCGCCCTGACACAGGCGACACGCTTGGGTGCCCCGCCCAGCGTGCGCCCGGCCGGGTGTCCCTGCGCCGCACTGACTCGCCTGCATGCGCGCGCGTGCCACTAACGGGCCGGGGTGGCGACAGCGGCGGCGGCGGCGCCGGCGGCCGGCCGCGCCCCTCCGACGGGCACAGCTCCGGCGTCAGCACCGAGTCGACGCGCTCGGAGGGCGGCGCGCCGGGCCGGCGGCGCGACGAGGCCAGCAGCGACAGCGAGAGTCTGTCGGCGCGCGAGCCGGCCGTCGTGCCGCACCCGCCGGCCGGACCGCCGCCGGCCGGCGCCGAGATCGCCGCCAGGTGAGGCGTCGCGCCGGCCGGGCAGAGGCTGCCCAGGCGAGCCCGCGGAGAGGCTGCTCTAGCCGGCCGACGGCTCGTTGCTTCGGCGAGGTGGCAGCGCTCCAGTGCGCCGGCTGCGGTAGTGGGCGTGTTTGACGGCCGGGCGGTGGTGGCCGGAGGTGGGCGGGACGTTTACGGGAGGTGTGGTGAGGTGCTGGCCACCGGGCCAGGGCTCCGGAGTGCGCCGGTGGTGCTCCCAGGCGGGACAGCGACGGGGGAGGGGGTGCCGCCTTGGCCAGGTCCACCAAGTCGGCAGATATTAACGTGGCAGTAAGGGGTGGGAACCAGGGGCTTGACCAAGATGTTCTCCATAGCAGGCTCCTGGCGGCCTGAATCGGGCTTTTTCACTATATAAGATGATGTTAGCGTGTGCGCGACATGGCGGGGAAATTGGAGACGCCGGTCCCGGCGGTGACATTCGGCGTTCGTTGGCAGTCCAGCCGCACTGACGGTAAGTGGCCCCTCCCCCCCCCCCGTGGCGATCGGCACCTGCGCGCCTCGTGTGACGTGTGGCGGAGGTCCGGCGACAGACCCGGTGGCCTTGTCGGAGCTCCAGCTGTCACGGTCACCGGCGCCGTCGACGTCACGGCGGTGCCGAGCTGCGTGTCACTAACCAACAGCATGCCCTGCATTCGGTCATCGACTTGTGCCAGCGGCAGTGGAAGGGTGTCGCAGGTGACGGCGTGTCCATGGCTGACCCCGCGTCCTGTCAAGGAAGTTGGGTCTCCAACGTGTATGGCGTAGCGCTACAGTCGTCTCAGTCTTGTTCGGTCATATCACTTTCAGTGACTTCGATTTGTTGTGGATTTACCAAACTGCTAGCCCCGCACAGTCTGCCGCAGCGGAGTCTTGTTAATGCGTCGCAGTTGTCGTTGATGCGCCGCTCGCCGCGTGCAGTCTTGAGCGCTTGTTCGGTGTGCCCATGAACGTGTAGAGCCTGCCTTCGCACTATCACTGGGAGGAGCAGGCCTTACTTTACAGACGTCGGCGGTACCGGCCTGCCGCTGTGGACGAGGTCTCGCCGCTGAACCACGTACTGCCGCGCCACTGAGAGAGATACGGGAACTCCGTCTTCCTCCGGCCGATCACAGATGTCGCCACCGCAGCACCCATCGGCCACTCGACGGCTGGCCACCGAACTGAGGAATCGCTACGCCCATGATAGATGTCGTTAGTGATGCCGACATCGGCAAGAAACATTGAGTTGACGCGACGCTTTTTTGAGGTGATTTCTTACGATGTGCAGGTGTTGAATCTAGTCCCCGTTCATTAGCGTTAGTCCTGCGTCTCACCTCCAGATATCTGGCGGATAGATGCATAGACACCGTTACCCAGCTGTAGCTCGAGGGCTGCTGGTGCACTGGGTTACGGCTACCTCCGATCGTCCCATTTACCAGCAGTTTCTGGGAACGTTATATATTAATGTTGATGTACCACCCGAATGCTCTATATAAACAATCCGCGTGCGTCCGTCTTATATATACCTGCATTGAAAGGCAACGCATCTATTTATTGTGACGCTCACCGGACGACCGGCGGGCAAATCATGTGATCGAGCCGTTGACGAATGCCTACTTACGAGTGAGACTGGCGTCCTGTCACTGTGTTTTGATTTGCTTGTGAGGCCCGCGGCCCGCGTGCTGACCGAGCCTGGCCGCGGGCACCGGATCTCTGGCGGCGCGCGCGCGCGCGCGCGAACGAAGCTAGTCCCTGATGTAGTCAGAGGGGTGGACGCGGGCTCGCGTTGTTGGCGCGGCCGGCGGCGGCCGGTGCCCCTCCGGCCGCCGCATTCATACTCATTAGGTTGTCTTTCAAATCGGCGCAGGCAGCGCGCGCGCGCGGCCACGTCGCGGCCCGCGGACGCGGCGCCGGCGCGCGTGCCGCTCCCTGCGCCCCTTCCGTTGGGTGGAGAGGGCGACGCGCAAACCCCGGTGGTCCCGGCCGCGCGCGGTATGGCCGGCTTGTGATTGGCGCCGACGCCGCCACGCGCGCCCACTCTTGTTTCTGTCGTTTGATGAGACAATACAGCTGCTTTGCTACGAGTGTGGTGTGTTGGGCGTCGCGAACTGCTCAGCCGCAGCTGGCAGCGACCGAGGCGCAGCTGGCAGTGGCAGGGGCCGAGGCGCAGATAACGGCGGCCTTGGGGACGGTGGTCATGACGCTCCGTCGGAATTCAGAACGTTGCGGCGGTGGTGGGCGCGTGACATAGGTAGGTTCCAGTTGCTGCCGGCGTGGTGAGGTAACGCGTGCTCTGGTGCGGCCACGTACTGTGGGATAATGAAGCAATAGTTCGCCGCGGATGAGAAGCTGTCGGGGAAAATCGTTAAAGCACAAGTTTTTTCAGACTTCTCGCTTTCTCCTCCTCGCGCAAGATGGGTGCACCCGTAATTCATCACGCGCTGGATGCCCATGCATTTCAGCGACTGCTTTGGGCTGTGGAGAGCTATGCCCTCCGCTTGGGCGTCAGTATCAAGTAAAGTGGCGTGTAGCAGTTGTAAATAGATGTTGGGTGTGAGCTGATGTGCTCGTGGATCCTCCGCGCCCTGGTCAGTTACGGTATTGGGCGCAGCGCACTGAACAGCCATTGTTAGTCTCCTGCGCCATATGGAAACGAGATAGAATCATTCATCCAGGGCGTGGGAGCCGGGGCAGCTGCCCTCCCCAGCTTGGACGAAGTTAAGGAACCTAGTTTTCAACGCCATTGTCATTGTAAGCAGGGGCTCCGTCGCGGGAGGCACAAATACGACGTCAGGAATGCAGGGGAGGGTTACGCGCATTCAGCTCTTTCGGCGTGAAACGTTGTGCCTGCGGCGCTGTATAAAAACGCTTTGATGCCTCCTAGCTGTTTGGCAATGGCAACTGACCCAGCACCCCTTTTGCGCCGCGGCACAGACCAGTTGTGACGTTGCGGACTGATTGCTCTACGCTACATCAGTTTTGTTTTTTCTCAAGTGGTTGTCCTCCAACAGCAAAAACATTGTTTTTTTAAAAATGCATTACTTTGCAAACGCTGCGACATATAGGACAGTAAGTCCTACCTGTGTACATTAGAGTACCAAGCTGCGTTTTTGTTTACTCTATGTGGTGGCAGGAATCCTTGATATGGAAATATTCATTGTAGACGAAACTAGCGCGCCAATGGGTTCAATGTTTTGCCAGCTGATCGGCTGCGTTGCCTGATGGCGGGGGCATTGTTTTGTGATGGGGTCCTGGGCGGGGTGTTGAACCCCCGTTGGCTTTGTTGAGGAAGGATATTTCGATGCTGTACTTGGAGAGCCTTTTTGTTATGACCTAAGACTGAACACCGTTGTGTTGGCCTGAACCGCCTAATTGCAGGTAGGCTGGTTGGCTGACATCTGCGCTATGGTGGCGCCAACACAGGTAGTCGAGAAGAGTGATGGCGATCCTCATTCATTGTCATTCTCAGAAACTTGAAAACCTATTTCTTTACTTGTCTTGGGTTTCAATATAAGTGGACAGTGGATGATTGGACGAAGGTCCTGTCATCTCTTAACTAGTCAAGGAATGGCTTTTAACTGTAATGCATCAAACAATGAACAAAGACAACATTCCTTCTATGAATGTCCATCTAATGGCTCAGGTTTGGTCTTAATTTGAATTTTAGTCTTAAGGTATGTATGGTGTGCTTGTATCCACATGGATTGCCTCTTGGTGTACCTTGGATGGTGGGAAGTGAATTTTCCTACCATTTCATTGATTTACCCTTTCATGATGGGATGTTAAACTTCTATTTTATAATACACCAAATCACTAGAATCAAATAATTGGGATTATATCATCCTGCATTCAAAATAGAATAACCATGTGTTATGCAATCCAGTGACCACTATTACTGACAGTCTGTGTGCTGGTTGCTGGCATGATGTTCACTGATTAGCAATTGAAACTTGAGATCCTTAGTTGTGGCATGGCCTTAATGCATTACAGGATACATGCGTATGAGGTACCACCCAAAATTTCCAGGAATTTGACTTGCAAGAAAATGTCTTACCCTATATACAAACACTCTTTGTCTGCTTCCATGGGTGTCATGTGGACATACAGTGAAGGAGGTCATTTTTTCATTGCTACATTCATGCCTGGATTTTGTTCTGGCAGGAAGTATGGCTGTGTTGAGCACCTCATGCAGATCTTTCTGAACCTCCTGATTTGCATGAGCTCTGATCCCAGAAATCCATCCTTTCAGATGATTTGGATTAAATTTAAACAAAGAAATTATGTCATAGTGATGCTCCTCCAGCCAAAATGCATTGATCAAAGACAAAAAAGCTGCAGGGAACAGGGTCAGACCAATGGGGTTAGTGGGACAACAAATTTTTGTTGTTGCAAAAGGTGCCAGGTGTAAGTGATTCATGAGCAGGTGTATTGTGATTATTAAGAAGCTAGTTATTGCATGCAAGTTTTGTGAGCATAGTCACTTCATGTTGTACTTAAGCTATTTTGAATTTAACAGCAAAACTTATGGACGCCCATGTTACGAAGGGGAAGAATGACTTGGGCAACATCTTGGATGTCAAGGAAGGCCCAGCATGGATTTGACATGGGTGGAAATTGTATACACTTTTTGTTGTTGGTGATTGGGGCAATTTTCACAGCAACAACTTTTTATCTCAGTCATCAGCATTATGTTGTGATAAAAAGCTTGAGTGATGACCACAGAGATTTGGCTGAGGTCATCTATCATTTGATGTTTGATTTTTCTCCACACAACAGTTGTTACTTTGGAAGATCCGGGGGCAGGCTGTTTATTGCAGTTAGATCCACATTAGAAAAATCACTGAGCCAGCCGAACAAGCCGTTACAAAAGCAAGGTTAGCTAAGCAACAAATGGACTTGGTATGACTACTGCTAGCAGTGATTCACAAAGGATACTACTCACTCTCAGTAGTAGTCCCCTCCCCCCCCCCCCCCCCACTGCATGTGATTCATTCTTGTCACCCAAGTTTCCAGTGCCTTTGGGTAGCAGCATGCATATAAAATGACCAGCTATCTGACAAATATAGCTGTGTTACTGTCCTATATGGTGGATAATATGAAACTCTTTTGAGTCGCCTCTGCTGGGCATGTGGTGTGGATCCTGCCCCATTTTTGGATGAATGTTTTTTATTTGCAGATAGATGATGGAGTGCAGTGCTGTGAAATCTGGCAGAGCTAATGAAATGCTTATTATGCATGTTCTGCTTCAAAGTGCTTGCCTCCAGTCACAGGTCATTTTGCATGGATGATATTTCTGGGATTGGTATTTTCCTTGATGGCCTTGATCAGAATTATCAATACTGCTCAACCTGTTTTCTTAGTTGTATTTATCAAGTTGGGCTATTTTCCACTCTTGGGGTTGTCCAGGAAGGTGATGTGGGTAAAGAAGTCTTAATGAGCATTGCATGCAAATATCAAATCATTTCCATCATATGATGCTAAAGACAGCATATTATCTTATGTTCTGCAGCTGGCATGAGTATCTTGAATCTCAGATGGAACTTTTCAAAAGTGGTTGGTGGTTTTCCAACAGAAATGTTGTTATTTTGCCTCTTTGCATTGCCATGGACCCATGCAAAGAGAACTGTCATTATTAGGGGATTGTCTCCCATCATCATCCACAGTGGCCTGTGGCTTTTTGGAGATTATCTGCCCATCAAATGTTAATGATAGGGGCATGTCATTTCCACTTTTCTGTATAGATAGTTTTAGGGTGTCTGCCTGCTTGTCATGAGTGAAATCAGTTCAAACTTACCAATGCAATGCAGATGCATGCCTCCAAATCAGACCAGCACACCACACCTTTGAGTCAATTCTGAGTCTGATTCAAGAAGAAGAAGCTAAATTTCAGATTCATTTCCAATGAAAAAAGGCCTTCCGCTCCTGGCCTTTGGCATTATGATTTGTACAGCTGAAAATATTGACTGTTAAATGTTGTTAAACCAGTATCTCCAGGCATATTGAAGGTTGTTCACTCAATATGTAACTTTCAACTCATATTGTCATCATAGCAGCCTTTAAAGGACATTTTGTCCCATAACAAGACATTGCATGCATCTGTTTGGTGATCCAATTGGCATGTAAGCTGTCATACTGCCAAGATGTGTTATTACCCAAATTTCTACCTCAAGTTAACTCACCAGTTGATTTAGTTGGATCAACTTCAACTTTTGACTTATTCCTTGTTTGTCTCAGTCTTATATTCACAGCTGAAGTGGTTAAGTGGTACAAGCAGAAAGCAGCCTGAATGCTTCAAATGCTTTGTGAAAATGTATCCAACCTGATGTAACCCACACAGTGAACAAGAACTTATTGCATGGCAAGATCACCACACTTTTCTCGTTCCCTCAGTGGTGCAAGCTGTCGTAGATGCTGTGTGCAGGATTCATGTCAGAGCTTCTTGGTACTCAGGGCGGGGCTGTCCAGCCTCGCTTGGCCAATTTCGGTGACATTTGCCTCACTCGGACTAACTGGGCAGCATGCTCTGTCGCTTGGGCGCGCGGTCCAGCTGACCAGGGAGTGAGCCGTGCCCGTCCGTGACCACGGGCGTGCTGTCGAGCTGTCCAGGAGGTGAGCCGTGTCCGTCCGTGACCACGGGCGTGCTGTCGAGCTGACCAGGTGAGCCGTGTCCGTCCGTGACCACGGGCGTGCTGTCGAGCTGTCCAGGAGGTGAGCCGTGTCCGTCCGTGACCACGGGCGTGCTGTCGAGCTGTCCAGGAGGTGAGCCGTGTCCGTCCGTGACCACGGGCGTGCTGTCGAGCTGACCAGGGAGTGAGCCGTGCCCGTTCATAACCACGGGCGTGCTGTCGAGCTGTCCAGGAGGTGAGCCGTGTCCGTCCGTGACCACGGGCGTGCTGTCGAGCTGACCAGGGAGTGAGCCGTGCCCGTTCATAACCACGGGCGGAAGCACACTCGCGCCCTGCGGAAGATGGCGCTCCAAAACTGCCGCAGGGCCAGCTCATAAACTATGAAAGGCTTCTGCCCAGGGGGGACAAATGTTACCGTTAGCTCGCATCGGGTGGTTTGTTTGTATAGCCGGTGGCGCGCGCGTACACCCCGGGTACGCCACCGGAGCGCGTGGGGCGCTTGTCGCGTGCGGCATGTCAGACTCGGCGGTAGTCTCTGTGGGAGGTGTTAACCGCCGGCTTAACGACCGCGCTGTTCGGCTGCGCTATGAAATGAAATATGAAATGGGCTCACGAGCAAGTTTTCCATTGTTTCGTTGAGTTGTTCTCTTTTTTTGCCAGAACGAGCAGGATGTTATCAACAAAGACATGGGCATTCAGCGCGCAACATCATACATCCAACAAAGCTCGCACATGTGAACTACTACCATGTTCGCTCCGTGTCGCGCCATGGCGTGGGATCACCGGGTGTGGCAATTTGAGCACCACTGTGTGCTACGGGCTTCTGGTTGGGCCCTGTGTTAAGGCCAACACGTTGCAGAAATATCGCAGGATGAAGAAAAATTCGTAACGAGAAGGGAAGATGTCAAATGAATCGTGATGACATGCTGAAAAATATCACAAATTAGTCATAAACGGATTAAGATCCCGAAGATTATGATTGTTATATTACGATAAGTCTCCCGAAATAAGATCAAGATGCAATGTTTGAATTTTCCTTTAAAGAAAATTACTCGCCAAATGCTTGTAACACGAAAATACGACAGACTGAACGGGACGTGCTCAAAAATGATCTTTCGGTAGGCCTAATCCCTTGAAATAATCCAAACACTTGTATTGTGGGTGCATCGCATCCATGCGACTGCAGAGTGTACGATCGCCTGCTTTATGTCAGCGTGCCACGCTCAGTTTCCCCGCACACCGCACCAACCACACTGAGTCGCCCACGTTCACGTCCTCGACACGCGGACGCAGCAGCGGCATGACGTGCCGGACATGCTTCGACTGGCGGATCCGGAGATGCGTACCCGCACTCGCATGCACGGCCCTGAACCCTTCCGTCATGGGCGTGTGAATCGGCCCCGGTGGCGCGGTGTCTCTCCGGACCGGAAGCGCGCACTGCCCGGCGGTCTCTGCTGGTGCCGCGCCCCTGAGCTGCCGCGTCGGTCTCTGGGTGGCGCGAAAGTGGTGGTGATGCCTCGTTGGGGGATGCTCTGAGGACTGAACGTGAGATCAGAGCAGATGGTCCCGTCGTATACCGTTCCTCTCTATCACGTGATCATCGAGTGATCAGAGCCGCCGTATTTAGCCGCGGGAGGAGGGACGGTCTGTGCGAACGATGCAGTGTTCCGACACAGATGGGGACATTCGCCTCTCTACCCACACTCAACGTTTTATCCGAAGTCCTGGCAGCGCCGTTCCTTGTTTTATGACGCCTTTGAGTTACGCGCCACCCGGGGTCCCCTATCAGTCTGAGGCAGAGGCAAAGATGCATGTCCTCAAAACGCGGCAAGTAGTTCAGTCGCTGTAATTGTAATTTAATGTAATTTCGTCGCAGGTAATTCGTTGTGCGCTGTTCGTGGCGTCGTCTTAGAACCACCAGGGTCGGCTGGTATTGATGTGGCCATAAGCTTTCAATGCATTTCATAGCCGGCCACATTTCGTCATATCTGGAAAGTCTGGCATGGCTAGTTCAGTACTGCTGGGCCTGATGTAGTCTCATGTGCCATTTCAGTACCGCTGGTGCTGATGTACCATGCAGGCTGCCCTAGATGTTTTGTAAACTGAAGGTTCGTTCGCGATATTGAACGGAAGACCTCGGACTGAGTGGATGAAGAGAGGAGAACATTTGATAAAAAGTGTCATGTCACGACTGTCGGCACCGCATCTGGCCTGAGCCGGCACCGCACTCACGCATCTGGCCTGAGCCTGTTTTCTTTTTACCACAGTTAGCACGGACTTACCTTCTCACTACGTCATAGTTAGAACTCATGCATGGTCGTGTTGGGAACACAGATTCCGTTGTGCGCATCGGTGAATTTTCGCAAACCTTCGGAACTTTATCGTGATTGTTTTTAAGACACCACCCAGGTTTGGGACACTTCCGTCATTGCCTGCTGTTTGTGAGGTTTTGAATGAGGTGGTATGGAGCGTATGCCATTCCGCATCGAGACACGACAGTCTTGGGCGGCGGCAGTGCGTACATGTTCTATTACCAGAGTTGGGATTTTCATCGACTGCGACTCTGGACACACTTCCAGCCACTAAATAGGTCACGTATTCGATCGATGGCTATCATATCCTATCGGTACATGGCCTGCCGTCTCCGTCTCTGGCGTGTCTTTTGGCCGTCGCCACACACTTAAGCCCCGCACATGCTCCGCTGGGTCGTGTCAGACGAACGCCGCTGGCTGTTGCAGCGTCGCCGTGGACGGCCCCGCCGCCGCTGCCGGCGGTGACACCATGTCGGTCGTCGTGCCGAGCACGCTGGACCCGCCGGCGCTGTCGACGCTGGCGGCGCGCGCGCTCGTGCGCCACCCGGGCGCGCTGGGCTCGCGCGGCTCCAACTACCCGTGGGACACCAGCTGGCGCCTGTCGCGCTACGTGATGCTGACGGAGGAGGTGGCCGACCTGCTGCTGCGCGAGTGCCGCCGCCTCGGGCCGCCCAACAACTTTGTCTCGCTACTGTACGAGGCGGGCCGGACGCGGCGCGTGCGCCTGCAGACGGTGGACGTGCGCGGCCTGCCGGTGGACGCCGGGCAGATCGTGCGCCTGATGGCCGACCGGCCGCGCGAGCTGCGCTTCGACGCCGTCGTCGAGTTCACGGCCGCGAGTCTGGCGGCGTTCAACGAGCGCTGCGGGCAGCTGCGGCAGCTGGCGATGGTCGGCCGCATGGCGCCCACCACCGTGTTCCTGGACGCCTCGCTGCCGGCGGAGGAGCGCGAGAAGCGGCTGGCACCGGACGCGCCGCCGCTGGTCGCCTGCCCGCGCCTGCGCTCCTTCACGCTGGTCGGCTCGGCGGTGGTGGGCTTTAAGCCGAGCCGCGCCTACCTGGACACGCTGCTGCGCGCCTTCACGCAGCTGACGCACCTCGAGCTGAGCAACGTGTACTCGGAGGTGGACGCGGCGTTCGCGGCGCACATGCCGCGCCTGGTGGCGCTGGTGCTGCACAACGTCTGCCTGACGTCGCCGGAGCGGCTGGCCGGGCTGGCCGAGCTACGCCACCTGGACGTGTCGGTGCCGCCGGCGGTGGGGGGCGAGCGGCGCCCGGCGCCAGCCTGACCCGGACCGTCTGCTCGACCATCTGGTGCGCGGCCTGCCGCGGCTCGAGCACCTCGACGTCTCGGGCACGACGCTGGCCGGCTCGGGGGTGCACCGCTGCGCCGCGCTGGCGCCGCCCGCGGCCTGCGACATCGTCGGCCTGGGCAGCCGCGCCACGCGGCCGCTAGCCTTCCTCGGCATCTACGGCTGCAACGCCTCGCACCGGCAGCATCTGCCGGCCCTGCGCATCGGCGGCGACATCGGCGAGGAGCAGCTGCTGAACACGGCGCGCGCGCACCGCCACCACGTGCTCATGATGCCGGACGTGCTGGAGCAGCTGGAGATGCTGCTGCAGATGAACCACGGCGTGCAGCGCTGGCAGGAGATCCTGCACCTGGCGCTGGACGCCATGGACGAGTTCGCCTTCTACAAGGAGGTGCACATCCACTGCGGCGCCATCATCCAGAATGTGACGTCCAGCCGCGCCTGGATGGCCGTGCTGACCGAGGTGGAGCGACAGCGCGTGCTGCGCCAGCTGTTCCGCTCTGTGGCCCTGCACCGCAAGTCGATCCGCGTGCGCCGCTTCATCGCCATCATCCTGATGAACTTCGACGTGCCGCGTGAGATGATGTTCAGCTTCGAGGGCTTCCTCGACACGCTGGGTCACATGCTGAGCGGCGTGCTGAACGAGCGGGACACTTTCGTGGAGCGCGTGCTCATCTTCCTGGTGAACAAGACGTGCTGTGATGTGGACGGCCAGTGCAAGGTGATGGTGGGCGAGCGTGGTCTGGTCAAGATGCTGCTGAAGGCCATCCACGCGCGCTGCCAGGAGCACAACTGCGACGAGGTGATGCGCTTCCTCTGGTCCTGCCTCTGGAACGTGACGGACGAGACGCCGCAGAACTGCGAGCTGTTCCTGAGCAACCGCGGCATGCGCCTGTTCGCGCAGTGTCTGCACGAGTTCAAGACGGACAGCGGCGAGCTGGTGCGCAACATGATGGGCCTGGTGGGCAACATCGCCGAGGTGCCGCACCTGCGCGCGCAGTTCCTCACCAAGGACACGGTCGAGACGTTCCTGCGCCTGCTGAACTACTCCACCGCCGACCTGGAGATCAGCTACCACGCGGCCGGCGTGCTCTCCAACATGCTGTCGGACGGCGTGTCCGCCTGGACGCTGGCCGAGCCGAGCTGCGCCGAGGTGATGTCGCGCCTGGAGCGCGCCATCCGCGCCTGGAACGTGGCTGCCGAGCGTAGCATCAACTACCGCAGCCTGCGTCCGATCATCCGACTGCTGCGCTGCGACGTGCCCGAGAGCCAGCTGTGGGCGGCCTGGGCGCTGGCCAACCTGACGCAGGCCATGCCCGAGCGCTACGGTCGCATGGTGGAGGACGAGGGTGGCGCGCGGCTGCTGCGCATCGTGGCGCAGTCTGGCGACGACTCGTATCTGGTGCGCCTGGCGCAGCAGTGCCTGGACAACGTGCAGCGGCAGCAGGACGGCGCCGCCAGGCAGCCCATGAGCTGAAGCCGCCGTCGCCGCGCGGCCTTCTGTGATATCGGGGCGGGGGCGGGGCGGCGGGCAGCGCCGCGGGACGACGGGGGCGGGGCGGGCGGCCCCAGTACCGCCGATGGGAATCGGGCACGGACCGGGTGCGCGCCGCGCGCCGAGCCGTCGCGCGACGGTTCCGGGAGAACCGCGTGTGATCGGCCCGCGAATCTGGCGCGAGCTTCCTGCGAGACGGATGTGGGCGGTCAGTAGGTCTTTGGTGTCTCTGTGGACGGTGGATCCTGGCTACTACGTGATATGTGGGACAGGCGGCGCGCGGTGCTCAGAGCTCTGGAGCCCAGCGACTTTGAGGCGGGAGTGTGTGCGTGTATCCCAGGCAGCGGCACGCAGCAGGCAGCTCTTCAGTGTCTATCACGACTGGTGTTTCGCGCACGCGTGAATCTAACTACGCTCTTGTTATGCAGACTGTTGCCCTTATAGATAGGTTGTCTTCACCTAATACACTGTCGCGTGAGTCGGCCGGTCCAGCTTGGTTGGTGTTGGTATTGGGTGAAATATTTCCAGCTGGCTGGTTTTTTACAAGCGAAATCTCCGCATTATGCTGATTCTGACAGTCTTGGTTGAATGCTTAGGGTCTTTTTTACCCCTCGCGTCTCGGGACATAAGTTAAAGAGACGTTTTGAATAGCTGCTGCCGCAATGTCGTGATGCTTTTGGAAGCGAATTCCGTTGCAGCCGCCGATTGCAGGTGCATACTGCGTCCAGCGGCGAAAAGCCCTTATTTTAAAACGTGCTGTTTACCTTACTGGGCACTTGCATCGAAGGTGGCTGATCATGGGCGTTTGTAGAGCAAAATCGCAGCATTAGTATGGTTTCGACCCCCTCTCCCTATTAGATCGACATGGAAAGGATAAAATTTTCGATTGCGCCATTTTGAAGGATTGATTTCGGATTTAGCAACCACAGCGGACGGATGCAATAAGCTGCTCGTATACGCGAATGGGTACTTCCGGCGTATGCCTTGCACTTCCTAAACCAGTTTGATTAATTCAATCTTGCACGTAAATTATATGAACTTGATATCGGTAGGTATGCAAGACATTTCTCAAACCTCGCAGAACCTTTCTTGAGCGTTATCTGCTATAAAATGACAGTAAATAGCAGCTCGCCTCGCACGTCTCACCGGCCATCCATCCATCCACCAACGCCCGGATCCGACATCTGTGGTGTGGACAGGATGCAGATGTCTGTTAGAAAGTGAAAGTCTGTGAAGAAAGTGAGGTCCATATGTCACCACGTAATCATCCGCCTCCGGATGATTGCGTGGTGACGTCATTGAACCACTGCCAACATTGTGATGGTTACTTGGATCTCTAAGCCCGGCCATGGAACCTGTGCGTTTCCCGTAACACGTGTGGTGCCAGTAGGCGGACAGTGACCGAAAGGAACCGAACGTGACAGAACGGAACCACAGAACCAGACGAAACCGGACCTGACTGGGCGGAACTAGATGAAGCGGTATGAAACAAGACGGGACGGGACCAATCCAAATGAAACCAGCGGGGACCGAGCAGGCCCAGACAGATGGGACCGAACGGAAGCGGACGAAATCTAATGGGACCAGATGGAGCCGGACGGAATCTGGCAAGACCAGACGGGATCAGATGGCACCGTAGGTGTCTGGTCGGAACAGAACTAAGCCAGCGGGAGCGGGTGGAGCTGGAAGGAACATAACCGAGGCGGACATGATCGGACGGCGCCAATCGTGACTGAGGGAAACCGGGTGGAACTGAACGGAACCGCACAGAACCGGAACGGACGGAACGTTATGAGAATACGGGATCGGACGGGATCAAACGATACCAAACGAAACCAGGCAATGCCAGACAGGACGGGACAGGATTTCATGGAATTATATGAAATCGCAAAGGACCGGACGGAACCGGGCGGAATAGAACTGGATCAGACAGGACCGAACTGAACCGAAAGGGACCTTACTAAACCGGACAGGGTCGGACGGCGCCAAGCGTAACCGAAAGCGGCCGGGTGGGACAGAACGGAGCCATACGCGACCGGAGGAACTGGACAAGACAGGACCAGACCGGACCGGACCGAACCGGACCAGATCGGACAGGACCGAACCGGACCGGACTGGACCTGACCGGACCGGACCGGACACGACACGACAGGGCAGGACAGGACCGGATCGGGTGCAATCATCAGGAACGTCATCAGACAGAACGGGACCAGGCGGAACCAGACCAAGCCGGCCGTGATCACGTGGGTGCGAATGGGACCAGATGGGACTAGACTGTGCGGTGCCCGATGGAACTGTACGGGACCTGATGGGATAAGATGGAGCCCGACGAGACCCGGGGCCGAGTGAGGCTGGATGAAGCCTGACGGGGCCAGACGGGACCTGATGCGATGGGACGAGATGGGACGGCAGGGGACGTGACCAAAGAAAACAAGGCGGGAAAGGACAGTCAGGGTGGGACCAAACGGGACCCATATGATCCCGTTTGGTTCCGTCCGGTCCCGTCTGGCACGTCTGGTACCGTTTGGACTCGTCTGGTCCAGCCCGGTACTGTCTGGTCTCGTCCGGTCTCGTCCGGTCCCGTATGGTCCTATCTAGCCTGGTCTGGTTTCATCTGGCCCGGTCCAGTATCGTTCGGTCCTGCCCGGCTCCATCTGGTGTTGTCTGATGACTGGCCCTATTCGGCTACGTCAAGTCCTATCCAATCCTTTCTAGTCCCGTTCAGTCCCATCTGGTTTTGTTCGGCCGCGTCCTATTGTGCCAGGCCCCGGCGGCATCGTCCGGTCACGCGCCGCCTGGTCTGATCCTGACTAGTTTCTTCTTATCTTGTCCGATCCCGTCTGGACTCGTCACGTTCCTTTCGGCGCACTCTTGCTCTGTCTGGTCCCGCTCCGTCCGTCCGGTTTGTACGGCCACGTCCGATGGCGTCCGACATCGTCTGAGCCCGTCCGGATGGCGTCCGATATCGTCTGAACCCGTCCGGATGAGTTTGGTAACTTCCGGACCCCTTTGGTGATGGCCCCATTCCGTTCAAAATAAGATAAGTTATCAAGTGCTTTTGCGAAGAACAGTAAGCACATAAATATGGCAGTACGAAAAGCCTTGTTCCTCATAGAATAACTTGGAGACAGGGAAGTTTGCTATTCTACGAGAAATACAGCTATTAATACTACATTATTTATGGTCCCATTCCGTCCGCCCGGTGCCATCCGGTCCATCTGATGACATCCGATGCTGTCTGATCTCAATATGTTCCATCCGGTTCCATCCTCTCCCGTCCAATATTATCCGGTTCCGTTTGGCTGTGTCCAGTTCCGTCTGATCTCGTCCGACTTCGTCCCGTACCGTCCCGTGCGGGACTTCAATCAAGCTGGCAGGGGGTTTATGACGTCACCGTACAATCAGCTGAAAATGTTTGTAGCCTTTATGTTCATGCAATCAAGGCGCGCATAATCAATTGAAAGCTGCACCGCCGATTTGTGCTTCGGTTGGTGTCGATTAGGTTAGTGAGAATTGTGAGGTAGGACCAGGGGTGTCTAGCGGGTAAAACGCTATTTGTTGTCGTCACGTATCAAATTAGGCTACACGAATCTGCTAACATGCCCATAAATGTCTTGTGCATCTGCGGATATCAATACTGGGTAGATCTTGTTCCAAATTCGATCCATTCAGGGTCAGGTCGTTTTAGGAATTGCGAGGGTTGCGCCTGCCGATGCCACGCCGAAGCACGTCGATGGTTTATGTTAAGAAATGGGCTTTGAATTGTGTTGAATTACCGGTGCGAATTACTTCTTTAAAAATGGCGCAGGCTAGGTTATCAGTTATTGTTGCATATATTTTTTGGCCATGATGGGCCTTTAATATATTGCTTAGCTGAAGACTATTTTGCCACAAACATGCACTTTCAACAGATTTGGTTCATGTGGCACATAATTTATTCTCTGCATGGACCTGTCTGCTCTTGATTGTCATGAAGGCATCGCACTGCTCTGAAGGTGTGGGTGGTGGGCTCATGCAGTTATAATCACAGGTGCCATTGTTTTTGTTGATTTTGAAATGGCTGCATGTCTTGATGGCTGGCTTTTTTGCTTTTGAAATAGCATAGGTTTTCTCAAATCCTGATATATTTGGAATTCTGGATGAGAATGTCAGAGTTGCATCATAGGAGGGTTGAAACAGCAGTCTGACAGAGACAGTGACTTAGCCTGTGATGACAACAAAAGTAACGGTTCTGGAGTATCAGTAGAACCCAAAATAATGTGATCCCAGTAACACATTTTGTTTCAATGCATTGCTTACATTTGTTTTTCTTCAACCACCAGAGGAGCTGATGTTCATAAACCAAGATGGATTTGTTGAAAGAGAGGCTTCAGGAACTTGCAGCCAAAGGTAAGATGGAACTAGTTTGCCTGCTAGCTGGCACTAGATTGCCTATTTTGATGATGTGTGAAAGGTAACAGACATGAAAGGGGAAATTGTTGTATGTATTGCATTATGTGGTGATTGAAATGGTGTTGTGTGATATCTATATTGATGATGATTTAACAAGGTGGCCTTATAGAAGCAAACATCAGAGGCTCCAATTGCTTCTTTGAAGTTTGTTAAGATCAGATGGCAGGTGGCAACAGATGGCCTCATGCTGCTTCTGAAACTGAGTACAATCTGTGTTTCACTTATTTGTCTGATGGCCTTGTTTTCAACCACTTCTGTGGATATTTAAAGTTGTAGCTCAGGATACTACACTTATTGTGGCCTTAAGCAGTGTATATTACCTTTGACCATGTGCGATCCTTGAGACAGTAGGGAAAACAACTTTCTGATGCTTGATTTTAGGACGTCTGTCGGAGGAAGAAAAGCAGAAACAGAAAGAAAAGGAAGACACTGAGGTTGAGAAGCTTTACACTGAGTGGAAGG